ATCCACAGCCTGCTCCTAGTGGTCTGCTTTTTATTGGAGTCAGGCAAAGGCCACAAGCCTGATGAATTATTCTAACAGGAACAACACAGCGCTGGCTACCTGCCTGGGGGCAGTTCAGACGTGGACAAACGCCATCAGTGCAATGCGCTGGCACCTTGACTGCACTGTATGTATACACTGTGTCTGGTAATCGAGCGAGTCTGTGCCAAGACACAGCCTTTCTCCATGCTGACCAGGGTACAGGAGGCGACGCAGCCCATCCGTCTGTAGAGGCTGATACACAGACCACTGATCTGCATAGTCAAGTGGTGATGCAAATCAAGACTTGCTTTTGATAATGACAGGAATTTACACCATACACTGGCATTCACAATACAGCATTAATTTGCTTTCATGTAAGCAGTTCAAGTTTACAATTATGATCTATGAACAGTGGCATTACCAGCTCTGTACTTCTGAGTAAATCATCAGCATGTGGCTACTCAAATGCTGGTATGAGTAAACTACATAAACTTGCATTCCTTTATATGCTAGCTTCTTGTACAGGGACCTACCAGTTTTTGGCAAAGACTTTCTTCGCAGGTTCATATGCAAAGTGAAGTCTGGCGAAGAATAGTCTTAGAAGAGAGAACGAGGCAGAGCAAGAGATGACCATTTTGGGGGGAAAACGTGATGACACCATCCTACTCTGGAAATTATAGGCTTCAGAACTGAAACAGAAGATACTAGAGGTCCTTTCCTTGCTTCTGGTTGTGAAAAAAAAAAAGAAAAAGAAAAAGTGGAAGTTCCAGCTAGCTACAAGGTCAAGAAAAATAAAGGCTAGGGAAAACCAAAAAGATAGATGCTATATCCACTTACTGAAAGCAATTGAGGAGTGAGGATGTCCAGCTGCTTGAACTTAACTATTTCCAAAGTGCCTGCTGCAGGCCAGTGAGGATATTTAGGGAATGAAACGATCTAAAAGGCATCGAATCTTAAACAAGATGTCTGCTTTACTCAAGACTGTATGTTCAAGTTGCCCAAACTAGTCATTGCTGAATGCACTCAGAAGTTTGCTTCAAGTGGCCAATACACATACTAAAAGAAGCAACAGCACTAATGCTACCAAAAGGCTAAACATTATCTTTCCTTACTCCAGCTGCCATGTGTCACGTACATTTTGTTCACGTTACTGTTCTATTACTGACACTTTTTTCTTACCACAAGCACTGCATACTTAAAAACACTGAACAATTCAGGTTGAAAGGGACCCCGGGAAGTCATCTAGTTCACTCTCCTGGTTCAAAGGAAATCAACAGAGAATAGTTAAAAATGACTTCAAAAAAGGAGAAAACCTAACATAAAATAAAGCCCATACAAGAGAGCTGTGATCAATTCTACCAAAAATCCTGTGAGCGTTCAAGAACTATGACAAAAATGTAACCACAAAAATGCAAGTTGATGCTGCATTTTCAGAGATTTTTCACTTGGATAAGCTTTGTTTGGATCTCAGGTATGAGAAAACAGAAGCCTTATTAATCCTAGTAAGAAAAAAATATATTGTAACTATTCCCTGGTGTCTGGATGTAGAAACAAACAAAAATGCAATTGTATCTTATACAGACTTACAAAATTAATAAAGCATAATAAGAGTAAGTCATAGGTGCTACAGAACAGTGAAGCTGCAAGGTGCAGTTGTGATCAGGAACGTTTAGAGGCACTAAGACAATCTACTGCCATTTTATTGACTATCACACCTTGGCTTAATTTAGTTGAGTTTGCTAGTCCAGCAACTGCTATCTAAAATAAGCTTTCCTAGAAGCACAACTTGTCCATGATGTACTTGACATGACTCACTGGAACGTACTCCGGTACAGGGATGTCTGTTGCAGACAGAAAATCCAGAAGCCTCTATTTCACATTTCTGATGGAACCCAGAGATTCTAAGCAAATGAGTTAGACTTTGACAAAATTTGATAAACACAGGTCCTCACTAAGTACAACACTTGGAGTAGATTTTTTTGAGCTGTTCCTTAGGTTCAGAAATTTAAACAACGTGCTCTTCTTGCATGTAATCAAACAGTAATTTAATTCCAAACTAGTTCTGAAACATCTGCAAGCAAAAATTACATTAGGGGTAAACATTGGTCAGGTATTCTCCCTAACACATGATTTGCAATCAAACAAAGAGCACACACAGGACATGACTTTTAAAGTAAACTACTTGGAACAGAAATCTCAGGAGTCTCACAGTTTTAGAAAGTTTGCATCTTGTTCTCTGACTGGTTTCTGTGAACATTATTTCAGTGCTCTAACCATAATTTACAGAATTCTTAGTGAAATGACTAGAAGTATCAAGTTATTGCGCCTAAGAAGAAACATTATTACATACTACCACCAGACAACTGAGATCAGAATTTTTCTACATCCATTGCTGCCACTGCACATCTATCTTGACCTCCAGCATCCTTTGAATTACTAAGAAATTATGGCCCAAACAAAATTTCAGCAAGAAAGAAAGTTTTAAGGAGAAAAGCATTACTAAAACTTAAGTTTAGGCCACTTAAGTCCTTTAGCTGACAACTAGCTTTTTAGAGTCCTCGTAAGAATCAAGATTTATTTCGGCTCTTGCTAATACAAACCGGTATCTCTACAGACCTCAAAACAGATGGTAAATAGAAGTATTTTTTTCTCACAAGGTAATACAGGATGCGTTCCATGGAACACCTAATTGCCTACGGGAGCAATAGCAAACTGGGTTGCTGAAAAGTCACCTATTCAGCACCATTGTCTGGTCACGTGCTGTTCTGACTTATTTCCAGAGCAAGCTCCACCCAGCTCTCCTAGCCAGGAAAGTAGTTGTCACCTTATATGAATATCTGCCAGGACAAGACTGTCAATTATTCTTTAAGCAAGTACATTGGAGCTGGAAAAGTGCATAAAAAAGACAGAATTCCAGTGAAGAAAAAATGGATGGGGGGACACCTGCAGATTTGTGTCTGCCTAACCCTATGGACACCCAAATCAATTACAGAAACTTCAACTTATAAACCTTAAAGAAGAATTCTAAACCTTAAAGAAGATACAGAGGCGAACCAAATTCAAATCAGGTAGATCATAGCACTATACAGGAAATATGCTCAGCAACTAAGATGAAGAAGAAAAGCTATCCTGATCACTCCAGATGACCAACAAGCTTTCAGTAAAGTCGTCTTCAACCTCTGGAAAGGCAGTAGCTTATCATGAACCTGGCAAGTAGCAAAAGAGTGAAGAAAAGGAAAGCCTGAAGAAATAAATACAAGTAGGTGAGGGAAAGTAACTTAACTCTTAAATTAGGAAGCCTTAGAAGAAATCTTACAGAAGTAGCCAGGAAGGAGAATCAATTTTTCTAACATTCAAAACTCCAAGAAAGTTTTAGTCACAATATTGATTACAAAGTGAAAAACAAACTTTGATGCATGTTGTAATAATGGCTGAAAAACACACCAGAATTAATTTTAGAAATTATTTAAAAGGTGTATCGTATGTTCAGTGCAGCCTCAAGCTATCTGCTCTACCTTCACACCAGTAAACCTTAGCATACAGTTATTCTAAGCAGGATCCAGTCGTTGGTCCATGGGTTCTGGAAAACATATTTTAATGCACTTATACATTGCCTACCTACAGAGCACACAGGCTACATTTTCAGATTAGAAAACAGAGTGCTGAAGAGAACACAGAATCTAACATTTACTCTAACAAATAAAGGGGTTAATATTCTGTTATGCAAATTTTAAAGCATCACATATGAAAATTACAGATTTCAGTTGTTAACATCAGATGACTAGATCCTAGAGAGTGCAAGACTAATTCATATATTAAATCAGCATGCAATAAATAATAAGCCACAATTAACAGGAAATCATAACAAACACGATGTAACAAGTAGTAGCTTTAGTGAAATTAAATTACTGGAATCAATATCTAAAGTATGAGTTTGTTTTACAATGTACCAATAGACATAGAGAAAAATATAAATTGAAAAAAAATAGTAAAGCATTAAACTACCATACTTAACCAGGTCCCAAACTCCTTAGATGTAATGTGACATTAAAACCCTGCCACAACGCTAGCTATCATGTCTGATGTTTGGGAGGAAGTGCAGTTTGGAGCTGGAAATTAGAAAGTAGCTCTCTTTTAATTTCCCATATGCAAAGTAAATGTAGCATTAACACCGTTTGCATACACAAGGATCCTTTGAAATTAAAAGCAGGGCAAATTTCAGGGCCTTCCATTGACTGAGGCCAGCCGGACAAACCTCCCTCCCCTACTAATCTTTTATCAGCATAATATTAGAAAACAAGTTAAGTACTCGGTGCAATCTTCAGGAAGGCATTGAAGACAGGTCTGAAGCAGGCAGCAGCTGCCATTTTCCCCACTAACATTTCGTGTATCACCCCCCAAAACCTCCGGGAACTTCCCGAGCTGCTTCGGCAGCAGCTCCGTGCGCCCCCCCCCGCTCGGGAAGGGCCCCCCCGGAGGGCAGGGAGCAGCCGGACCCAGGGGGCCCCTCCCGCTGCGGGGCAGCGCCCTGAGACCCCCCCCCAAACCCCCGCGATGGCCCCGCTGCGTGGCGCCCCTGCCCCAACCCCCTCAGCTCCCTTCTTAGCGCACCCCCGGCTCCCCTCAGCCCCCCCCTTTGCCCCCTCAGCACCTCCAGGGGTTCCCGTAGCTCCCCCAGGACCCCCCCTCAGCTCCACCCCCCGATCCCCTTCAGCTCCCCCCTTTACCCCCTAAATTCCCCCCTTACCCCTCTCAGCTCCCTCCCGACCCCCCCCCAGCACCTCCCCTTATCCCCCTCAGCCCCCCCCAAGACCCCCCTCAGCTCCCCTCCTTACCTCCCTCACCCCCCCAGGACTCCCCCCTCAGCCCCCCCAGGACCCCCATCAGCCCCCCCCCCACCCCCTCCCCGCCCCTCCCTCCCGTCTCCCCCCCCCCCCCCCCCCCGGCCCCCTCCCGCCTCGGCGCCCGGCCCCGCTCACCGTGGGGCGGCGGCGGCAGGCCGGGCGGGGGCGAGGGCGGCGGCAGGCCGGGCGCCGGCCCCCCCCTGAGGAAGGCCGGCACGAACTCGGCGGCGTGGACGTTGGGCACGAAGGGCTTGGCGTTGACGTTCAGCTGCCGGCTGAAGGCCGCCCCCAGCAGCTCCTGCTGGGCCTCGGCCTCCCCGCCCGCCGGGGCGGCCCCCGGGCCGGCTGCGCTGCCCGGCTCGATGTCCGCCTGCTCCCAGCAGTCGGGAGCCGAGTCGCTGCTGCTGCCGCTGCCGTTCGCCTCCATTTTGTGGCTGCCCCACAAGGCTCCGCGGCCCCCAAGCGTCTCCCAGCGGCCGGGGGGAAGGGGGAAGCCGGCGGCGGCACCGACTCAGCACTCGCTCCGCCGATTCCGCGTGTACTCCGCCGCCCCGACGCGCAGCGCGGTGTGGCCTGCCGGAGCTCCCGTACCCCTCCCCGCGGCCTCGCCTGCCGCCATTTTGGTAGTTTTTAGCTCGCCCGGGCCTCGGCCCGCCGCGCGGCGAAGGCGAGGCGTGGGAACTACAATACCCATGGTGACTCGCGCGAGCTTGCTCCCGGCCCGCCTCCCCGGAAGAGATGGGAGATGTAGTTGCCTGCGTTTTCTGCGCGCTAGGAAACTACGCTTCCCGTCGGCCTTTGTGCCACCCTTCCGTTTCTCCAGGCTCCGCCTCCGCTTCCGGGGGGCAGACGGGACATGTAGTTGGCGCCAAGGCCTCAGGCTGGCCGAGAACTACCCGTCCCAGCAGGCCTCGCGCCAGCGCTCCCTCAGGAGACGCTTGAGGGCCGCCCCGCGGGGCTCTGGGAAATGCAGTGCGCAAAGGGGCAGCAGCGGCGGGTGCCGGCTCCGCGTTCCTTCGTGCCCCGTGAGGGGCCCGGGCGGGACGGGCGCGGCCCCGCCGGGCTGCGGCCTAGCGCGTGCCTGAGTGGATTCCCCATTACCCGTGGGAAGCTGCCCCTGCCGCCTCTGGAAAGCCCGGGTTGGCGGTGACAGCGCGGAAACTGTGCCGCTGTCACCTCCGTGTGCCCTCACGTTAAGGTCCCTGACCACGGCTGCTCCCACGCGAGGCGCCTGTGAACGTTGTGCAAAGGTGGCCGTGGGCCGACAGGGCGCGTTGAAGGTTGGGGGTTTGGCATTCCCACAGCACGCTGGCTCAGTTCTTGGCTATCATGAAAAAAGCCCCATTAAGCTAGGTTCCCCGGGATCTTGCCAAGTACAGAGACCCTGGACTGGTAAGGCTATGAGAACTTCTATTCAGAAACAAAACAAGAAACAAAACACACAACCTGTATGTTACGTATCTTTGGAGGAGAAGGGAAGGAATAACAGGAAATAAGAGATTTGATTGGCAGGCTGGACATGGCAGTGGCTGTGTTCTGGCTTGGAAGGTTAAATATAGGTGTTCAGAGCTGGTGCCTGGGAAAAGAGAGGCTGCTGGAGTGCTCACGGGCGAGGACTGAGTCACTCACAGCGTTATTTATGTTGGGATGCTTAGGGCAAGTCATGGAGTTGTTTTGAAAGTAGACGGCCTTAAAACTAAAATACAAAGATCCCCATTCAGTGCAAAATCCACTGCAGCTTGGGTTGCAGAACTGCAGAAGCTCTCCTGACGTGGCATTTACATGACTTTATGCTGACTGAAGAGCTGGATAGTTCCTAGTTGCACATGAGGAGAAACATGTAAGCCCTTGACAAGCGAAAAGTTCTATGTGGCAGGTAACGTACATGTTAATGCAGAAATGTACTTCTGACTGATCATATCCAGGGATAACGCCAGTGTGAAGGGCAGCACTTATAAAAGCTAAAAAGAAAAACTCCCCACCAACACCACAGATAATTAACTTTGAAAGAAAAAAAAGGTAAATTAATTCATGATTATAGACTATATACCTGGTTGGTGAAGGTCTTTCCTTCAAGCACCATTAACTTAGTAGTCACCAGGACCTAGAAAATGAGTTTTAAAGACCTTGTGAAAGGTATTGTCTGGTTATTCCCTGGTCTGGTTATTCTAGCTCCTTTCTAGTTTTCAGGCACACATTGTCAGGGCTTCTATTATTCAAAGTTGACTGTAATTAGGAAGATTCTAAATACTACAACAGTAACACGGATGAGCAGGCTATAGGAGTAAGGGAAGCTAGAATCCTAATGAACACCTTGAGATAGGACTCTCTACTTTTAAAATTATTTTTTCTAAATGCGAGCCTTTGCTTGTTAGGTGACATTTGTTGACTGATTCGTTTCATTTAGTATGGAAGCAAGGCTTTTGCATTTTTTTTTTTCTCCCTATCTGTAAGTCTTTTACTAACTTTTGAAAGCATTGTCCAGCTTCAGCAAATTTCACAAGAGATAAAAGTTAATTATTTTTTTTTTTCAGTTTTTGTGGAAAGAAACAACTGGATAAAGCAACAAGATTTACATTGGTAATTTCAGTGAAGATCAGACAGAAGTAAAATCCTCTTCCCTAGTGATAACAACATTTGGAACAAAAAAGGAGCTTGGGAGTTACCACTGTTGAATAATAGATAAAAATCCAGTGGAAACCAAGCTTCATGAATTCTGCTGACAGAGTAGCTTGCTATTGTACACTTTTCCTGTCGTTAGAAGCATTTAATAGCTCAGGTTTATAGTGACTACAATGCTGCATTGCAAGCCTTTTTTTTTTAAAAAAAAAAAAGCCTTGACAAAGCCTGCAAGTCAGGAACGGCTTAACTGGAGGCAGGTACTACATTTTCAGAGTAATTAAGGCTTATTTTAAGATTACCAGCACACAGAACATGTAGACAGCAATCCTTACAAGCACTTAGGCATTCCTTAGAAAGACTTCCTAAATATTTTTGAAATAGAGCTTCGATCTGACAGCTCCCAAAGTTATGCTACTTCTTCTTCTCCTGCCTTCTTAGCTTTTTTTTGTTTTGTTGTTGTTTTGTTTTGGGGCACAATTGCATTTTGGTTAGAGGCATGGAAGTATGTATGACCACTGATTTGGGGGGAAAATGATTACTTGTGGTATCCAAGATTCCCTGCTTCCCTGACAGATCCTTATTTCCTAGGTACTTGCTAGGATATAAGCAATTAGCCCACAGAATTTCAGAAGATGCCAAACGTCCTTCAAAGTGTACAAACCTGTTTTGCAGGCTGTGTCACACACAGGAATTATGTAAACTCAAACACGAAGTTTTTAACAGGGCTAGTAGTTTGTTTTTCCACTTAGGAACAACTGGTACTCAAAACAAAACCTAAGTGGAATCGTGATAATTTTATTGGCAAAATATCGACTGGAATGTAAATAGTGGTGTTCTGTCGAGGTTTTAAAGCATTATAAAATCTTTCTGGGTTTAAATCTCTCTGCATCACAGTGTTTAGAATAAATACACTATCTCTGCTTTTAATAAATACCAAAAAACTTTTCTCAGTGAGAACCACCTATATTCACCACCTATTCATCATCAAATGATGGCTGATTTGCATTATCAAAGCACTGCTTAGAAAATAAGCGATCGGGTCATGTCAGGGTGAACAAGTTGGGACTGGAGGGCAGAGAAACTGCCTCCCCCCCATCAGTCGCATTTCTACCCATCCCTGCACTGCCTTCTAGGTCTTGTTAGACACTTCGCAGAATGAGTTCGTCCTATTAATCTAGCTAAAGAATGGTCTGCTTTCTTTTTCCTCCTGGGTTGCTGATATTAATCAACTCTTAAGATGTTGCAAATGCCAGAGCTGGTATAAAGTAAGAGTGGGGACCAAGACTTCCTTTTTTTAGTGATAACTATTCATATATTAAACTATCTTGGGTACTTTCCACAAGTTTACCACTAGTTTTCTAGCCTGTGATAAGTCAATCCTATGGCAGTGAAATGGAAGTCCTCATTCATATAAAATTGGGACTAGTATTCTGTACTCCAGTAGAACCTTTCGTCCAAGGTTCTTACAAACACTTTGCACCCCAGCAGACATACCTATAAATACCAATGTTTCAGTTATGTGAACTGAAGGCAAAAAGAAAAATATTTTTCCCTAGACAGCTTCACACAAGTTCACAGCTCCAAACAGTCAACAGCTCATTACCAATATCTTAGCTCATTGAATTCCATAAAGTAACTAAGGGAAGAGAGTAGTTTTAGGGTGCAGGATTACCAGGAAATTGACTCAGTTTGCCTTGAGATCAGATCAATTCCTGAGCTGTTGTAACATGGGGAAAGAAAGTGTTTGGCTGAGACTGGGAGGAGCAGGAAAGGAGTAAGACCTCCCTTTCTGGTGTAGCAGCAAGCTGAAATTCAGCTGACGCACTGTGACGCTGTGCCCCGAAACTTAAAAGGTATTCAAATATGTACATTAGTTATGCACTTAAATGAGTAGCCTGATATTTAGGATTGCTTTGAAGTCAGATTGAGTCTTTAATGAACAAAGCCAAAAGAACAAGTTATTTACCTGCGAGGAAGAAAAGACAAAAGATGCAAGATAAATTACTAACATTAGAAGAATAACATAGGAAACAGTGCTCAGCTATGACACTGCCATTATGGAAGCACAGCTCTTCATGTGAAGCACATGTGAAGGAATAAGCCCAAAAGGCATTCTATACATTCAATTTAACATTACATAAAAGAAACAAGAGGAGTTAGATGAGTCCAGACAGTTTTTGTGACAGATATAGATTAAGGATGTACTGAAATTCAAGTGATATACCTCTCTTGAGGGAAAACTGCATTTATATAAATATAAATAATTTTTTTTGGATTAACTTTCATTATATTCACCAGGTCGTCTGACACAGAACTGAAAATAATGAACTAGTTTAAGTTTAGTTAGGTGCCAGGAGACTATAAAACAATACTTCTAAACTCTGGCAATTTCTCTTTCCAGGTAGTCTCTGGAGACGTAGCTGAGAAGTAGAGACACCATCACTACCACCACATTATGTTTCGACATGATGGCTTTTTCAAGAGCTGAGGCTATCCTAAGTTCTGCACATGTTCTCGGAAGCGTAAGTGAATGACAAAGAGGCTTTTATATTTGCACGAGACCATGTATAATCCAGACTAAGATATCTTGACCTGGAAACGTCTTTTCACCGATTTGTTTGTTCTAACCCTGCTATTTAACAAATGCTGTTTCAGAACCTATTACTCTCCCTCTGCTGGACACTCACATGATTGCTGTATTTGTGTTTTACGTTCAGTCTTTATTTTAAGCTCTCTGACTGGAAGAGATATAAATAAAATTCTTCTTCGGCTTTCCTAATGTGGGAAAGCATAAGCTCTCTTCCACAGTCCAGTTGTAGAATTACTCCAAGCTAACAAATGGGTATCCTCAAAGGAATTCAGCAACAACTTTTACATTTTCATTGTGGGTTGGTGAAGTGTGCTTCCGACCTTGACTCCTCTTTCCAAGGCCTCTAATCTAGAGTTAAAGCTTTTCTTTCGGTGCAGTTAAAGCACGTATTCCAGGCTTCATAAGGGGTATACGATCAATTGTTTGTACTTCAGAAAGCAAAAGAAATACATAGATATGTATACCAAAATACCACACTATACTTCTTTGTTTCCATGTTCTCATCTCTCAAATGCTCCAGATGCTCAGCTCATTGTCTTCCAAGATGGTCACGTGTTTCTCACTTTTATATGTGGACACAACATTTCATTCTTTTGCTTGTACATCTCTAGAAATAAAGACTGAAAGGTCTTCTTTTAATAAGAGCCATCCCCTTCCTCCCCCCTCCCCCCCTTTTTTTTCAGGTGACTTTAAATAGAGTTCTCAGCTGAGTGATCTGTAGCTTAGCTAGCCTGCTGTTTGGATTTGAAAAATCTTTAAGATGGATGCTAGCTAGTTCTTCATTCAAGGTGCCTCCCTTTGCATGTACAGTCATGGCAGTTTACTCCTTAGGCAGAATTTCTTTTGTGGTTTTGATGCCACAACCCTACAAACAGAGAAATAATTGGGGGAGATGGTTCGGTTAAATAATTTTGCTATCAAAGCTGTTGTTTATGTATGTTTTTTTGTTTTGCAATCAAAGATCAAAATAAACAAAGATTGGGGTGTTTATAAACCTTATGACAACTGAAAATGTTGTAAATAGCACAAGGATTACTTAATGTGGAAGGAATGTGCTGAGCAAAGAACACATCCAAGGAAGGGAAGAATGAGATCACTTTAATGATGTATACAGTGACTGAGTTAGGAATTTAAATGATGAGGGAATCTGTTTTGAAGAAAGGCAGACTGTGTGGTTTTAGAGCCAGGTGTAGGATCAGTGGGAGGAGGTGTCATGTCAGTGAAGATACTGAAGCAGCTGGAAATAAATCCTGTTAAATACAACCCAGATCTCTGTTCAACTATTCCTATGCTTTCATCTTGTTACTTTGTTAGCAACATTGTGATTAGGAAATTAACCTTCTGCTTAGTCACAGTAATTTTGCTTTCACCCATAAGTTTGTTGGATGTGGCAAGTAAACATTATGAGCACAGTATGTATAAATTCTGTGGAAGTGACAAATTGAAACAGAGTGTATTTTGGCTCCCCTGAGACAAATTTGAGAATCTCAGAGGCTGGGACGCTGACTTGACTGAGCAACAACTGTAACTTTTAAGTTCCAGGTCCTCAGAAGATTTTTTTCCACTGGTTATAAACTAGAATTTTTCTAAAATGGAGTTAAATAGTGGAGAAAATTTACTATTCTGGTTACCATCAAATAGTCAGGCTTTTAGTTTGACACAAAGATTTAAAAAAATGCAGAAAAAGTGGTTAGCATTTAAAGTGGGGCTTACGGTCTAACATAGATAGATGCATAAGGCAAGTCCCTACTATCAAACAGAGTTCAGCTGTACCTGATACAGTTTTTCCAGGCTATGTTAGCAAAGAATGTTTTTGTGAGATAATGAAAATGTTGATCTTAGCTCTGAAAATATCCATATAGGTTGTTAATGCAGGGTCCATAGAATGCTGTGTAATCACACCTTTTTTTATGGCATCAACTACCTGACATAGAGAAGCTCAGAGTTACCATGTCTGTTGTTGGATTCCATAACATTTCTAGGCCAGATCTCCTGCATTATACACGTTATACACATGGTAAGAGTTTTATGGCACTTATGTTTCATACAGAAATTTTATGTGCTGTATCCTGGGAAGTGGGAATAGAAAATTAGTTCCATGTGGGATTTTCATATGTTTCCCCCACCCCCTGCCTCTTAATTCTCCAAAATTTAAGTGGAGGGAACGTTTTGTCCAGTAGAGATCCCGTAAGATTTTAGTTTCAGTAGCGACTAAAGCAAAATGGCATTATTGTTAAGAAGAGAGAACAACATAATTTGATTTTTAATGCTCTTCTATAGCTCTTCATCATGTTGTTGCAGAAAGTAGTTTTGTTATGAAATCTTGAGAACGTAACAGTGAGCTTGTTTCTAGATAGAACTAATCACTCTGGAATTATTCCTATATGTGAGTATTTTTATTCCAGAAAATGTAATTTGCAGAGGGAATTATTCTGGAACAGGGATAACTACATCAATTAGAATTTTCCTCCTGTCTCAGGAGGGAGCACATATTGGCAATGTGAGGCCCTACAAGGGAGTATGAAATAAAGTAATTGTTGTTACCTAAACTTGTCCACAGAGACTGAATGGCTAGAAAGTTTGGCTTAATCTATCAGAAAAAACAATCTTGTCAGACTGTAGTGTCTCCTAAGCTCTCATGTCATTCACGGGTGTTCATGCACATGTATTTTTCTTGTAACTCCATTAATCCTGTTGGGACTGTATCACTGATTAATTTTATTTATTTATTTTTCCCCACCTGCAAAGTCCCTAAAATGGTAGTATGTGGGAGATTATTTTTGCAGTACAAAATGTAAGTGCTTACATTAAGAAACAAAGGAAAAACTATGTTCTGTGGAAACTATTGCACCATCATAAAAATGTCACTGGCATTTTAAGAAGTATTAGCTTAATCCAAACTTCCTTGCACATTTATTGTTTTATGCATTGTCCTTAGTAGTTACATAACTATGTTGGCACATGTAGAATATCAGACGAATAAAAAGATCATCTTCCTTCCCCAGAGGAAAAGCCTATTAACACTGCTTTTCTTTTCTGTGGAGTTCTTCTCTTCTAACTTAGCTTCTAGCTAAGGAAGCTTAGAGCATAGTGAAGAGTGCAGAAGTTCTCTGACATTTAGTTGAAAATGTTTATACTATTGTTATTTTAATTACTGCTTTTAAAGAACATTTCTTCTTTGAGTTGTTGGTTTTTGTTTTTAATCTTTTTTGGAAATACCAGATGTAGCAACAGCAACATCACTCTTTTCAAAGCAGTGGTCTAATTAAAATGTGGTGAACCGAACAGGCAAAATCCACATTTTGCACTGTGCCTGAACAAAATTAAACAATATTGTGCCTAAAAAAGAGCATTGTTCTTTGCTGCATGTAGAAGTTGATGAGCACAACAGATCCTTTAACAACCCCTTTCTTTTGTTTATTAACAGTGTGTACCCTATTCCTAGAACAGTTTATCTCCTCCCAGCCGTAACATATACAATTAGCAGAGTATGGATTTTTGAAAATAATTGTTTCAGATGATTTAAATGCTTTTTAAGGAGATAACTGTCTGTAAGACTGCTGTTCCTTGAAGTGCAGAAACTTCTGGGAAGAAAAACTTTTTTTTTTTTTCTTTGTATGTGCATTCATCTCAGAGATTTTTAGGATTGTTGTGATGAGGCCATTTGTAAAGGACTCTTTTCTTTGGACTTTCTTGGTAAATAGCTTTAGAGAATTGGAGAGGACCAAGCTTGTACTGCCTATACTAAACTACTTGAAAGTGTAGGTTGATTAGTTGCTTTAGTGGGGGGAGGAGGCTTACATATGCTACCCAGAAGAGCTGTATCAGCACGAAATGACCGTTGTAGAAGCAGCTCTACAGCCAGAAAAATTCTGCTGTAAGCCTTAGCTAATGTTGTTTGTGAAGGGAATGTAATAGCCATAGCAGAAAACCCTCTTTTGGTTGTTAAATGCTATGTAATTATGCCAACAGAATTTCTGAAGTACAGCCAGGCAAAGAAGCTGGCAGAAGCATGAAAAGAGAAATCCCAAAGCAGTGTCAAAACAAAGCTTAGTTGTTGAAGTTGTGTGGTACATAGACCTTGAGCCAATGATTTGAGAGATGAATTTCAGTCTTTATGTTGTATTACTGACAAAAGTGTATTATTTTTTTTTTTTTGGGGGTATTCTGTCCAGAATTTTCATTTTATTATTTCAGTGTTGAAACTCATAGGTGTTTTTATTTTTTCCTTTTTTTTTTTTTAATTATTTTTTTTTTCCAAATTAAATAGTGAAAGATAAAATTCTCCTTACCTATGCTTCAGAATACTGTAGGGTGCAGAGCAGGACTATCCCTTTCACTAACACCAAGACATTTAATCGGTTTAGCTGTATATAATCTACCATGTCTCTGATGACCTGTAGACCTGTCTGACTAATTAGACATAAATCGGCTTTGTGCCAAAATAGCCTGATTCAGAATATAGCTCATTACATTAGAGTGACAAATTATTTTAAGATTCACGATATTAACAGTTCTGTGTTTCATACAGCAAGGGTATTCAAGTAGAATGTCAGCAATGTCAGTTTTGGAGGGAGAGGTATTTTACATCATCTATACAAAAAAAAAAAAAAAGCCATTGAGCCATTGACAGTAAGTAAAGGCAGACCTACTTCTTATGGACTAGGAAAAGAGAGGAAGGAATTTAATAGCAAAAATTAAGTAGTTGAGAAGTCTAATACTAGGAAAGAAAGCTTATTTTAATAGGTTCTGTGAACCAGAAGACTGCTATTGGAGACAGATTATCAACTACAGAAGATTTCATCTTGGAAAGAATCCTCACCTCAATTTGTGATATATGTGATTTGAGCCTTGTGTTTTCCATTTCTCTCCTCCCACAGGTGGGGAGAGTTTAGGTTATTTGTGCACTGGGTTTGTTGGCACTGAAAAAATAACCAATTAAGACATACAGCAACCATTCAGCAAAGTACCATTTCTGAGCAGGAGGAAACTACAGGAGCTCTTCAAAGATTGATTAGGGACTAATTTAATGTTTTGATTAATGGTAACACAAGAAATAGGAATAGATTAATAAAGTTTGTGAACTAATTTTGAAAGCATCATCAACACGAGAACTGCAGACACTATATTAAAAGGAGTATGTGTCCTTTAGGATTGAACAGAAACAGGATGAGTTATTTGCTTAGAATGCAATGTTTTTTACTTAAGGAACGGAAACTTACATCACGAGTTGGGGAACTCATTAGTTAAAATTGGAAATGAGAGAAGAAGTACATGAGGTGCAGTGAATGATCAACATATAACTTTTGGGGCACAAAGGTGACATGATTATGGAAAAAAATGAAAATGCAGTGTTGTGTATATCAAGAGAGATTTCTGTAAGAAATTGCAGTGTCTGGGTGCCACCATGCAAGACTCAAATACTGAATATTTCATGCAATTCTGATTATCCATGTTCATGAGATGCATTCAGACAGGTTCAAAGAAAAGTGAAATACAGATGTAATGAAGCATTGTATGAAAATGGATTAGGTGAGCTTTTTTATGCTGCAAAGGAACCAAAAAGAAGAAATGCTGCTGTTCTTTTTAGGTAGGAGAGAGAGAGAAAAGAGAAGTTACTATAAAGAAATGCAGTGATACAGTAATGAAGAAGAATAAACTGGTCAACAGATAACGGAAATCACTGATTTTTTTTTTTTTGTTGTTGTTTTGTTTTGTTTTTAAATCATGGAAATAATGACATTTGGAATGGTCTTTCTGGTACTTTTATTATCCTCTAATGGGGATGCATACGGGGGAAGTCACAGACGCTTCTCAGTAGAATCACTCTTCCATTCAAAAAGATTCTGAAGAAGACAAATGGCATGTAAAGGTATTCTGTTTAGCAGTACCCAGCACTAGCAAGCAAGTTTCAAGGATCCTTTCTCCATGCTAACAATGCTGTATTGTTAAGGAGTTTATCAATTATCATTGTTCAAACATAACAGTACTATTTGTGTTGCCTACTTGGGATTTCTACACGCTATTTAACAACAACATTTTGTCATCTTTCAGCAAAATTGTCCCCACTGTCAATCAGAACATCTTGCTCTTCTTTGAGAAACTTCAAATCAATATGAAAATGCTACAAACCTGTATATTTAGCAAAACTACTTTGTTGAAGAAAGCTAGTATTTTAAATTAACGTACTTACACAATTTATTCAAAGGAATATTTGAAATTAATGTACTTATATAATTTAGTTAAAGGTCAAGACAACAACAAAAAAAGCCAATGTTATTACTGTACTTAAAAATGAGACAAGAAAACTGTAAAAAGCAGACAAAATGGAGAGAATCCCCCCATATCCCTAGTACAATTGGGGGAAAAAAAGCATGAAACTGATTAAGGAACTGATTCATTCATCTGTTGTGGTGCACATTGTGATTTCCATAGTCCACTAAGATAATGTTACAAGCTTTCAGCAGCTGTGATATAATTTGCAATTTTTGTAATTTGAGAGCTGTAGATTTCATGAGGAATTTTACTGTAGTAAAGACTGTAGGATATAATCCTACAGATACAGTATTGTGTGGCAGCCAGCTGCAGAAAACAATAGAATTAGGCAGCTGATTTCTCTCTAAAATAATAAGAGGTCTCAGTACAAGTTGTATACATGAATATAAAAATACAACAATAGGAAGTTGTTGGAAAATATTGTATAACATTAGAAGGCACTTCACTGAAGTCAACGGGATTATATTGATAGATAAAAGCATTGGAACCAGCATTCCTGAAATTACAGTCTATCCTGAAATTCACTCATCACACTTCGGGATACCATGAAGATACCTTCATGAACATCTGCCTTCTTCAGAGCACGGTTGAGCATGCGATTGTCTTCTCCATGACTAAAAAGGTTAAGCAGCACCTTCAAAGCAAAAACTTCAATCACTCTATGGATAAGCTACCAAGTGGTGCTCCATCAGACCTAGAAATGATACACTAGTGCTAACTTAGGCTTCCTCCCCTAGAGCGTGGATGTATGAAGCACGAATTAAATCAGAACCTGTTTACAACTCTAGCGCCAGCACTGACTTCACAGTGACGTTTTCTGCATCACTCACAGTCTGTATCAATGTTTTCTTTCAGCACACCTAAATCAGTTTTTGTCAATTCATGTATAGTTACTATTAATCTTGAATAGACAGAAAAGCTTGTAATAGCCTACAGCTGTGCACCTGGCCTATAGAAAAAAAAAAGTGCAGAAGCTACAACAAGCTATTAAATGTGCTAGAGACTAGAATACAGATTGCTTTATTAGACTATTTCACTAAGAACAGTTTTTGCATTCCCACATGGTGAATTTCCTGGGAAAATGTCTCATACATAGTAATGTGGTATGAAATTATGACTCCTTATACAGTATTTTTCTCTTCCCTTTCTGTAGTCAAAAAAGCAATTAACTTAATCATATCAAGGAGAAACTTAGCTATAAATAAGCCTGTAATTCTAATCAATCTTCAGCAGTGATACTGGATTGAAGCAGTTATTGCAGCTTGCTAGATGACTAACTTTGTGCTTAAAAGAAATTCTATTAGACAAAATGTCCATGCAGAAGTAGGATGTGTAAATTATTTTAATTGTAGAGGTCTACTGTCAAGGCTTTTAATTCATGGGAGGAGACCAAATATTATTTTCAGAAATGTTACACTCCCTGCTTATATACAGATAAATCTACACATGCTCAGTGTGCCCCATCACCCAGCTGGGAGGGAGGTGTCATGTATGCTCTGCCACAAGAATGAAATCTATGGCTCATGTATTTCACTGTGCTGAGTACCACAGTTTTAGAACAGCATAGGTTCTGCATTACATTTAAAAATAAAGAAACAGGTATTATTTTAGATAAAAAAATATGAAATGTTCATTAGGTCTTCTGTACTCATTACTCATACAAGCATGGTTATAAGCAAAAAGAAAAACAAAACAAAGAATCCCCCCAAAAAAAACAGCCAGTTGAAAACCCAAAAGTGAACCAAACAAAACAAGTCGTCCAAAACCTAACAGACCAGATAAATGAGGATACTTTGGAATTCAGGAGTAACATGCTAGTAACTGAACCTCCATATTTTGTCTATCCATTCCAGCTGAAGGTCTTAGATGTATTTGGTACAATACAATGTTGTTGAACTTGTACTTTTAGAGTATCTTAGTTAGAAAAGCATTTACAAAAAGTAATTCTCTCATCATCTGTGTATTCTAAATATTATTGTACATACAGAGAAACAAGTATGAAGGAAGTTGTCTGAAGTTGCAGAATGACTCAGTGGCACACCTAAAAACTGGATTGTTCGTATCTTGCTACTGCTGTGCCTTCTGCCTCTATTTTTTAATCGCATTCCCTTTGGACAGGGACAGAAGAACAAAACATAAACATCTCATAGTTTGCAAATTCCAAGAAAACACTTACTGCACACTATCACCCTGAAAAAAAAAACCAAAAACAACACAAAATTCTAAAACCAAGAAAGATTATTGTGAGGTTCTGTTTGGAGATCCTTTTGCTTTTCTACAGCTTGTAATGTTGAGCACCTGCTCAAGAAATGTATTCTATAAATAACCATTTTCTGTTTCAGACAGAATTTACATTGAAAATTATCTTGGTGCAGCTGTTCTGTTTTTTCTACAATTTTGATTTGCCAAAAAGGAACATAAATTTCTTGGGAGCCTCAGAGTTGAACCCTTTTGACATGATGCTGTGTAGTAGAGCTGTGATCAAAGTCTGTTGCTGCTAACAGTTCTTAGAACTGCTAAAACGGAGAACTGAAAAGACCTTTGTAGATGGTCCCCACTCTTTTACCATATCTGTGGCTTTTCAGTTCCGTAATTACTGACCGTGATGGCACACTGCCCTGAAAATGAATACTTTGATAATCTGGTGCTCTCTTGTAAGCCTTGTCATCTTCGATGTTCTGGTACACCACCACCTTCATGTGAAAACTACTGTGATAAGAGTAAGTAATTTTTCTGTGGTACTTCATAGCTATGCTGGGTATTTTCATGTTATATTTTACATAGATTCGTATACATAAAAACTTAAAAAAGGTAATCTAAAACCTGGAAGATGTTTATCAGAATAATATATAGACTCAACAGTATTAAAGACATATACAGTATATCAATATATACATATTTCAGTACTGTATGAGTATGTTTGAGTGTGTTAAGAGTAAACTGTTAAAGCTCTTTAGCTTTACTTATGCTGTCACTTAAAAGAAATAGAAGTTGCTCCTTTGATAAAGAAGTTTTATGTATTGGGCATATGTTTACTGTTCATTGGTTATTGCTTACAATGAATTTAATGCATCTTTTTATTTCATAAGGTACTGATTCAGGTGGAGTTCTTTGGATTTGTTTGGGCTTCGGAGTAATTTTAATGCTCACTTTATTCACGTTAATGGTCTTGTTTAAGTGGAAGCACCTAAAGCAACTAAAAGAAAAACTGAAAAACACAGGTGAGTAAGTATGATTCTTTATCAACTAATTAAGTTGTTGCACCTTCTAGCTGCTCTTATAATGTACACACATTACATATTACATATTACATTTAACATATAACATATTCCAGATTCCAGATTCTGATAACTGTCTGTGGATTGTTTCTTATTTCTTAGATAGTCTCAATGAAGTTATTAGAGTTTTTAGGGAGTAAAATATCCAGATGGTGACTTGTAAAACAAACAATCTCTGTTTGTTAGTTCTAGATTATGTCACAACTGTATTTGGTTACTTATTTATACCTGGCTTAATTGCTGGTGTTTGAGAAATCACTTAGGAACCTTAAATAGCAAATGATTGTTTTATTGGCTTCATTCTCCTCCTATCGAATGGAAAGGTAGAGTATACACATTTAATGTTGGCATTCCATCTTAGAAGAAATTAAATAATGTTACTTAATCTTCTGGCCTGTGAGAAGTGTATGTGGTATATTTTTGGAAGGTGGAAAAAAATTGTAAAATGTAAAAATAACTTCCACTGGTATCTGTGGAATGTTCAGCCAATAAATAATAACTGATTAGAAAATATGTATTTGATAACTTGAATGCTTATCCTGAAATACAGGGGGGACATTGTCATACAACAAAATATTATTGTTTATAACTTCATCTTACAACTTTCACTGCATCTTAAAACTTTCACTAAGGCTAGGAATACAGGTGGAACATAAAGAAACTTGGATCCTTAATAACTGTATGTCTGGTATAGCATGATGTATGTACTAAATTAACTTTTGTATAATTACAGGTGCTTCTGTGGAGCTGAATGATGTTCTCAAGGCTAATACAGAAAGCAGTGTGCAGACAGATGGAATTAGACACTCACTTCAAAGTGAAACATTAATGTATTCAGTGGAGGAATGCACTTGTAGTGACTGTGGCTTGGTAAAACCTCAGACTGGCTGTGAAACTTCATTTCCATTACCAGCTACAGAAGAAGGAGCTACTGTTCTAGTTACAACAAAATCCTTTGATTACTGCAACTATATTCTGGGTGCTGGATGTCTATGAGAGAAGTAGCTATTTTTTACTGCATAATAATAATTCAGTTATTTCAGTATAGCTATTAATCTTCATACTTATAGTGGGAAAGGCTAGTACATCTTCCTTTTAGACCCTGAATCAAACTTTTATTGATATTGTCATATTATTTTTAATTCTTTGTTCAAATTTTTTTTTACATTATTCTCAAATACCAAACTAGTGACTGGAATTTTAAAATTCTGAAAGTCCCTATGTAGAATGGCTCTTTCAGTACTTTGAGATTTTATCTACTTACACCAGATATATGCAGACTCATCAATAAACAATCTTGCAATTATATGTTTCATGATAAATTCAGATCTTATGCTGAAAATTGCTTGAGGCAGAAATGAAGATCTACATAGCATTCCCAGCATTGCAAAGAATAATTTCAAATAGCCTCTGTGATGCTTGAAATAGGAATGTTCCAATGATGAGTACCTCTGCTGAGTACAGAGTCCCACCCAGCTCAGATAGGATCTCAGGGTCACATAAAAGGGAGTTGAGGTGCTGTGGAGTACCACACATGTAATCCTGATGGTGGACAATTTCCTTTAAATACCAACTTTTTTTTTTTTTTCAGACCGTCTTATAAAGATTTATTTTTACTTAGCTTTTATTATTATTATTATTATTATTATTATTATTATTATTATTATTATTATTATTATTATTATTATTATTATTATTATTATTATTTAATTGTTATTTGGACAAGTACTGCTGATTAGATACTGTCATGGTAGGCTATCATGTGGCCTGAAATTAGGAATATACTTGTGTCACCTTGCCTCCCAAATGTCATTTTCCTCGTATTAAGCCAGTGTTATTCCTGAACAACTGCAACAACAATCGTTTTGTTTGTAGCTAACTTTCCATCTAAGGTTCTTGCATGAAGGATAAAATATAAGCTTGTAAGACTAGTGAGTTGCACAAACGCTATGAACGATCCGTATTGCAGCATCTTTGTGGCTGACCACAGCCAGTTTGGATCAGTTAGGAGTTAGCTGTGCAGGTCTCCCACATGCAGCCAAGAACTCGGAAAAAGGCCTACAGGACTATTACAGTTTTTATTATTGCTGTACCTAGGAAGTCTTGAGAAAAAAGGTTGTGATCTGCTGCTCCGCATGGTGTGGAGCAACTTAGAACATAGAATCATTAAGGGTGGAAAAAAACCTTCAAAATCAGCTGGTCCAACCATCCCCCTAGTACCAATGTCACCCACCGAACCCTGTCCCTGAGCACCAGGTCCAATGCCTGACTGCTCTGAAAGGAAATGTCTCCTCATTTCTAACTTAAACCTCCCTTGGCGCAACTTGAGGCCATTCCCTCTAGACAACTTGTGGTAAATACACACAACACTGCATACAGATTTTTTATTTTTTGGGTGGTCCGTTGTGGACCCGGGAGTTGCAGTTGGCGATCCTTTCAGTTCCATAATTCTCTGATTTGCACAGCGGCTGAACAGTGACATAAAGCCTCAAAACGAATCCACAAACGTTCAGAAAAGCCTCGAATCAGCTCTGACAGTTGTTCTAGAGGGAGGTTTCACACTCCCCGGGCCGCTTTTGGAACGCGATCGCGCCCCGAAGCGCTGCGGCCTCGCCTCCCTCAGCGACGCCGCCTCACGGCGTTTGGGACCGGGCGGGCCCTGCGGGCGCTGAGGGCCACGCTCGGCAACCGACAGCCGGTGCAAAGCCCTCGTTTATCCCCGCCGTGTTTATCTTCCGGAGCGGCTGGGGGGCGGCTTTCCGGGGTGGAGCGTGTGCCGGGACCGGCCCGGCTCCGGGCCGTGTGGGAGCGGCTCTGGCTGAGGGAGGTGGTGAGCCCAGCGGGCACCATGAGCGGTGAGTGGGGGGTTCTGGCCGGTTCTGGGGGGGCTGCTGGGGCTGAGGTGGCCCTGGGGGTCCCCTGAACGGTCTGGGGGTCCCCTGAACGGCCCCTTCCCGGCCGTGCTCCCCCGCGGCGGGAGCGGGGAGCTTCGGTCCTTGGTAAGGGTCCCCTCACGTCCCCATCACCGCGCCCCGCTGCTGCCCCGGCCCCCTCACGGATGTTTTATCTCGGCAGGACTCAGGGGTATTCTCAGGAAATAAACGGCCAAAAGTAAATTGAAGCAACCCCTCACAAAATAAAGACTTTCTAACGTGCAGTTGGTGAGCCCTGGTGGGGTGACTGGGGTGCAGGCACTGGGCTGACAGTCCATTCTGACGGGCAGCAGGTTTGTTTGCCGTGACAGCATCAGTGGCACTTAGTATGTCTTGAAGCACACTGATAAGTTTTTTTAAATTTTTTATTTTTTCCACGAAGAAGGGAGGTACTTTAGAAAATACTTTTCATGGCTCTGTTTCTACAACTTCAGTGATGGATGTCATCTCCAACCCTGAGCGTTGTCTGCGCTGAGAATTGGATCATAGCTTTTTCTTCCATCCTGATTTGAGGCATGGTGAGATTGCCAAAGATGCTAAGAAAAAAAAAATTAAAGAGCCAACTGAATTACCTAAACATTATGTTTTTTAGGAACAGCAGCCATTTCTGAAAATGAAACCAAAAATGAAAACAGCTGTATTTTTCTCTGTTTTGTTCTCACCTTTGTAGTAAGAAGAAAATGAAATACTACGAAAGAGGTGAAGAAAAAATAGATTGTTGTGGGGAAAATTGTAAATTAGCGTTGTGAAAAATGCAAGTACCAGTCAAATCTTTCAAACCATGGAAGAAGAAAGTTTCTTGAATGTTTCAGGTCTTAAAAGTGTAGACTAAATCCTAATTCTGAAGTTCTTGAGAGTCATTATTTTCATATGGAAAACCTCAGCCCTTCAATGATGAGTTCAGGCTGGGAGTGGCCTTGTGCAAATCAGTGCTTAAGTCTGGCTAGGTGACTTGGGAGCTCCATTTCAATTCAGTTTTGTGACTCAAAGGCAAGGTGGCACCTCTTGTGGCATAAAGAAAGGCTCATAATGTAGTTATTTAAAAAAAAAAAAAGATACAGAATTAAGGGGACAGAAAATATTAAATTGCTTAAAAATAATAATGCATGATGTGATGCTAGGGCTAGTAGTCCAAGTGGTTGGATAACCTATGTGTATGTAGCCCTTGCCAAGACCTATGTGAATTTTTTACCACTTAACACCATGGTCTATACTTATTTTCACGCCCAATTTTAGACCTGAAAATTAAAAGGGTTCCTCCTAAAATATATGTATAAGACCTCCTTTCTTAATGCCCATTATCTATTTATAACACATATTTTTTAACTACGGTGTGTTTCTAGTGGATGTGAAGGCAACTTCCTGTTGATTTCAGCATTTCTTAATAATACCTATTAATTACGTACAACTGTTTTATTGGACAGTGATGAAAAAAATAAACTTTCAATGTAAGTTACACAGGGATAGTAGAGTTATATACTTGTCAAAAATCAGGGATGTTGTCAGTTTTATGACAGCTTTGCCCAAGAAACAAGGCTAATTCAGTATGAGGCAGTGGAATCACAATAGTATAGTACTACAAGGTAGTGTGTAAATCAGGCCTGGGGTTGTTTTTGACTTGTATCCTTAGAATGTATTAGAGCAAGCAAAAGCAGTTACAGGCTGCAATTTTACATTTAAGACTTCAAGAAGTATGTAAGAGCATTCTGAGTCTTCTTCTTTTTTTTTTTTTTTTTTTTTTTTTTAAAAAAACAAAAAACAAAAAAACATATGGGGATGAGGACAACCATACTTGTAAAGAATTGGATGGAAATCCTGTTTTCCTGTACTTGCATAGTGAATTTCTTCTGCTATATGTGTGGATATTTCTGTCACAGCATGGAGAGAAGTTTATTTTGAAAACAGGAAAACATGACCATCACAGCGAAGAATGGCAGGGTTACAGAGGCAGGTGCAGGACTTGAGACTCTTTTTAACTTTCTGACTGAACAATTGGAGATAGGAGGAGTCTCTTGTTTTTGCTATTTTATACTTATGTTTTCACAATTATTTCTAGACATATGTATGAACTTCCTTTTTTATTGTGGTAGTCTAAATGTAGTCTTCTTCTGAGTAATGCTGGCTTTTGCGTTATATGTTTTGTATTTCTATGTGCATTATTGGAGCTTTTACTGCTCTTCTCAATCGGTAGAAGGGTATTTTGCTCAGTTTGTAGTACACTGTTATTTTTTAAATTAACTAGAGTTGATCACACTCAGCTAGTACTTTTTGTGTGTGAATATATGCATATTTGTTTGAGGACTTTGTTTAGAAAATCATGAAGACTGCGAAAGAGGTAAATCTTTAACAGAGTTGGTAGAGGTTTGCTTTTACATTCCATCTAATTGAGACAAAAATAACTTCTAAAAATTGTGTACCATTTACAAGCATTGTTAGAGTACGACATTTTCTAGGTTTATTTCAAAGAAAAAACCCTATCCTTTGCTTGGAGGGAAAAAAGCAATCTTAATGTTTCAATTTCTAAGACAAAAAAACATAGGCTTTGTGAATATTATTTTTCATCTACCAATGAACTTTGTGTTAAACAGAGCAATAGTTGAGTTCTGCAGGCTTGCACTGAGCAGCAGCCTCAGCCAGCCCTCTGTATAGACATTCATTGGCCTACTAAGCCTGTTAACGGTGAAGGTGATCTGAACTAGCTATGGAAATCATTGGTCATCGTCATGTGCGGTCATAATTGTTATTAGCCCAAATTTAAGTACAATAAGGACAAAATAGACGTTATACTGCACTCTGCATAAACTTAAGGCTGTTTGATATCATGTTCTTTAGTCTTTTGGAACATTAATTAGCACAGTGATCATCTTCTGTGGGTTTTCTGTATTCTATGTTCAGAGTCTGGTATCTAGTTGCAAACCATTTCCATGTTATCAACTAGATAGAAAGGTGCCAAAGGGATTGAAATTTAAAAACCGGATTGCACTTGGAATACAAACTTAAGCCACATCATTAGTATTTTCATTTGAAAGATGTTTTTCAGATCGGGGTCTTATTAATTACGTGCATTTGTTTAGAAGTAGTCTCAACCTTAATGTAAAGAGCAATGTCACGTTATGCCTATTCTCCCAGGTGCACGGGTAGCATAAGACTGTAGAAGGAAGGAGTTTGAAACAGTGTGGAATATCTCCAGGTTTGTGTATGTTTGATGTTGCTGTTTATAAAGAGTTGTATTAAAAGTTGGGATTTAATCATTTTCTTTATTTTACAGTTCTGGGATTTATTATAAGGCAGTAGATGCATAGGGGTGTGTCTCCATTCTTGGCGATGTGCGCATGATAAGAACACTGAGCATGATTTTGTAAGACTGATTTCTGAAGCAGCACACAGTAGAGTAGTAAGGTTTATATGAATTAAGTGTTCTCTTCATAATGACGTAACTGTTTGGAAGGTAGAACCTACTTGGTGTAGGGTTTGTTTCTGGCGTCCTCTGCTAGTGTTGAGCACTGTGTGTGTTTTCAGCTGAGTTTGTGCACATTGGAGTATTTAAGTAACAGAACCAAACCTCAGTCACATGTCTGCACAGTTTGAGTCAGACTTCAGAATTGGAACTGTAATTTCTTGAGAATTCCCTATAATCAGACAAATAAGCATTGTGAAGCTTAGCACCTAAATCATACATATTTCCTCTTTTCTTTATTCAGGCATCATGTGTATTACAGACTTTTTTTTTTTACTCCCCCTCCTAGCCCCATGCTTAAATTGCAACAAAGAGTAATTTCAGTAGGACAAATTCTTTGCCCTCCTGCTGGGATAGAAGTGAGCCCCTGTGAATAGGATTATGAAGATAGGAAATCCTGGGGCTGGCACCTGGCAGTGCTGGTCAGCAAGAGGTAGAGTCGTGTAGGTTTGATAGCCCTCTTTACTAGAGGTCTTATTGTGTGCTGCTTGATTTTTCAGTATCTGGAGAAACTTGCTGAGTTTTGATAATTGGCTTTCAGTCTGTGCATACGTTAGTTGTATGTCCTTTGAGAGAAAAAGGAGAATAGAACAACTTTAACCACAGGCAGGTCAGAGAGACTTTTGATGGATGTTTTGAGCCCAAGCTCAGAATAAGAAATGGTAGATGCAATGTAGGTTAATTAAACATCAAATTTTGTACTATTCACATGAGTTTATGAAGCATGTTTAGACGAGCAAAGTATGGTATTTGTTGTTGAAATGGCTCAGTTGTGTTGTGTGGTTGCTTGTGCAGTAACAAACTATGTTTTATAGGTTTTAATCTGGCAGAAGGCTGTGATGGTAGTTAAATTTTAAGGGCTTTATCGTAATAATTGTTCTCCATTCACCTAATTTAAAACTCTTTCTACAGTAAGGTTGCTTGGCAGTAACAGGGTATTCTTACTGTCTCTTTCCCATTTTCTATTCTTTTCTTGTGCTCTGATGATATACCACACTGGTAGTTTGTCCCAGTATGAGAATTTATGGGGTTGCAGGGTGAGCTGCATCATACACCTAATCCAACCAAAAAAAATAAAAATCTTAAACTAGGTCAGTTCCAGCCTTGCAATATGGTCCCACAGGTGGTTGTGCTAAGAAGCTAGGAGCAAGCTGTGCTGCCTGTGCACAATTAGATTATTTTTGATATTGCTGCAATATACCTTGTATCGTGAAACCACTCTTATTTTTAGTAAGACTTTAGATTGTTTTTCAGACAGTATTCCTGCATATTAGAGAGACACTACTTGAAACATCAAAATACAGGCCTATACCACATCATTTTACGTAGAGAAAATACATTAATAAATTTAATGGAATAACTGGCATATGAGGAAAATTTTTCACAGTGCTGATGTTGACTTCAATCTACTTTTCTCAAAACAGTGTTTATTTAATAATATAACTGTGTTGATTTTTCAGTTTCACAGAACAATGACACTAAAAGACAGTTTCTTCTAGAACGGTTACTGGATGCAGTTAAGCAGGTGAGAAATCCAATTAATATTTCTACAGTATACATACTCTGTGTTGTCAGTACTGGCAGGATCTGTCTGTCTGTCTTTCTGTCTTCTTACCAGATAAAGAAGAAATCTTGTCTTGCATACAGTACTACTGAGTTTTTGTGTCTGCTAGCAAATGATTATTATGCATTGCTTGTTTAAAGTTCTTGTGTAGACAAATTATATTTGCAATACATATTCTATGTCTGAGTTAAATAGTAGTGTCCTGCAAAGCTAAATTGGATAATGTTACAGTAGCAACTTTTTTTCTTCACAGTAGGATTTTAATGAATGGGTTAAAATACAGTAAAGATGAGATTGATTTTCGTATCAATGTGAAGTTTAGCAAGTAGAATTTCATAGATTTTACTCAGTTTAAAAGAGTTTGTGAGGTAAAAGAATGCCTCAAAAGTTAGCCAACCAAATGTTTTACAGAGATTGATTCTTCTTTAATTGTAGCACTGAGCCAAGTAGGATTCACTGTTTGTTTTTGTGGGTATATGTTTAAAACTCAGAAGTAATATTTTTTTTTTTTTCATTGGGAAATGAAGGTGTGTTGTTCTGGCTAGCAAGAATTATGTGAACCGCAGGAGTCTGTTAGTGGAGCATGATGGTAAAAAGCACTTCTTGGTTGCAGGCTGTATTTGTCCATACTCTATTTTGTTTCCTTTTTGATTCTTAAATGGAAGTATTTCGGCATATTGAGTGTCCTAGTGTAACAAAAACTTCTTAAAATCTTTTTATTTCAGTGTCAAATACGATTTGGAGGAAGAAAAGAAATTGCTTCAGATTCTGATAGCAGGTAAAGTAGTCGAAGAAACTGTTAATATGCTCAGATTATGTTTCATAATGACCCAAACCATAGGGCACAAAAAACTTAATACAAAAAAAAGACCAAAGCACCACAAAACAAACAAACAAAAACGTTAAATAAAAAACTGTTCCTTTTGTTTGTGTAGACACTAACGCAGGACTCTGAACTTTTCATCTTGTTACATGAATTTGACAGTTTAACAAAGAAGATTCTTCAATATGAAGTTACAAATGTTTAAGTGGCTGTAGAGTTAATGACTAAGCATTGAATTCTTAGGCTTGAACATGAGACTAGTAGGGCCTGTTTTCCCCCAAAACTCTCCTAAAATGAATGTGTCTTTTACCTTGTATTACTCTGTTTTGTGTAGCTTGATGCTTAAGTGTCAAGTGTGTTTAACACATACTCATAAAGAAAATTTTCATTCCTTTTTTTCGTTATTCCTGACACATTTAAACCTATTTTCCTTTGTTTTCTGTATGACAGGTTATTTCTTTTTATTACTGCAAGTCAAAAAACTGTCATTTAAAGTTGCACCTGTTGTTGGATATGGCTTATTGGTTTCAAAGGTTTTTAAGAAGAAAACTGGCAGACAGGGATTGCAGTGTTTCTGTATCATGGTTTCTCAGAATTTGACTTATCAAAAAATGTCAAATAAAACTGCAGGATTAAATGCAGTTGTTTATTTTCCCCTTTTTAATGTCCTTTAAGTTTGACTCTGCGTTTTGGGAAAGTTAATTATCCACTGACCACTTATGAATTATGTATACGATTGTTTCTTTCCAGTCCCCTCCCAATGCAGTCTTTAAGAATATGTCTAAGGATGTGGTTTCATTGCTTCTGGAAAGCCAGCAAAACAATTATTTGCTGCTAAAGGGAGGGGTGAGGCTTCATGTATCTGTAGCCTTTCAATATACAAAGGGAGCTTATAAGAAAGATGCAGAATGACTTCTTACCAGGGCTTGTAGTGTAACAGGACAAGGGGCAATGTTCTTAAACTAAAAGAGAGACTTAGATTGGATATAAGGAAGGAATTTTTTGCAATGAGGTTGGTGAAACACTGTAACAGGTTGCCCAGAGAAGCTGTGGATGTACAATCATTGGAAGTATCCAAAGTCAGGTTGGATGGGATTTGGCAACCTCATCTTGCCAAAGATGTCCCTGCCCACAGCAGGGTGGTTGGGCAGAGTGATCTTTAAGGGTCCCTTCCAACCCAAAGCATTCTGTGATACCCTGTTAAGGTTCCTGACTTCAGTACTATGCACTTGCACCACCTTGTTATGTAATTCCTGATCATCCAGTCCCCTCTGAATTAATTTAACAGAAGTAGTAGTAATGCAAAAAGATAACTTGCTGCCATTCAAGTGAGTTGAAATCAGTTCCATAAAATATCTGGTGAATGTTAGAGTCCCTGCAAGGAAGGGAAGATCGTGCAGTGGAAAGCAATGGGAAATAGTAAGAAGGAGGAAGAAGCAACAAGAGATGAGAGGAACATCTTTCAGGATGCTTTTTGTTTCATCTTTTTCACCTTTCGGGAGCAGCTTGTAAATGCAACTGTAATGAAACTCCAGGGTAATGCTACTCCACGGCAGCTTAATCCTGCCTGACTTTTGGGTACTACTGTCATTCCGTCCTCTCCCTAGCTGTTTTGGCCTACGTTATTTTTGGAAATAATGTAGTGTCCTGTTCAACTGGTGTGGTGGGAACAGTTTAGTGGAGGGTTTGCTCAGTTTGGTGGACAGAAGTTGGTGCAAGGGAGGTAGCAGGAAGGTGCATGTTGGGATAAAGTGATGGTGGGACTGAAGCACCCAGCAGTTAGTGACTGCACAGCTGTAGCTGTTGGCACAGAAGCATCCGCTAGAGATTGTTCTTTAATCTCTGTTGTTTATTTAATGAGAGATGGTGTACTGACAATGGTTTGCCTGTCTAGCAGGCTATATAAACTCAGTGTGATGGAAGTACTTCCTTTGTAGAACACATTCTCTGGATATAAAACTTCTGCTTTGTGGCTCACACAAACTGAGGAATTACTTTGCTGCAGTTGTTTAATACTTTGAGGGATGGCCTTTAATATTTAGCTTCTGATAAACAGTGGGAGTTGCAATTCAACAGATAAAACGCTGACCAAATTTTACTTATATTTTCCTTAGAATTCAGTGGACATGCAGAATAATGGATTACAGCTACATAGTTTCATTCAGAACATTCAGAAGGAAGTGGAAATTGCATTAATGGATACATAGATATTTAATTTCATTGCATTTTGGATTGTTACTATGGTATATTGTTACTTGTGAGATAATTTTGAAGATAGGCTCAGAGTTTAGATAAAAATCCAGTGAAGTCCATGGTTCTTCACATTTTGTACTCTGAGCTTTTTTTGTCTTTGAGGTTATAATTGTTCAGAGTGCTACTATGTCTAGTAGTCTAGATTATTACTCTGTTTTTCTACATTTCTTTATTTAACATGCATTCATGATACTATCTAGTAAATTCACGATGTGTATTGGGCATTGCAGAATATTTTTTTGTATCTTGTTTTACTAATGGTTAAAATCTATAAAATGCTGCATGGTTTTCTTGCTTTTTTTCTCAGTGCATGTAGATTTTTAATAACATGGTTCACAGAAACCAGTTTCTGTTCTGCTTTTTCTGAATTGAAAAGTCAAGTAGACTTTTTTTTTTTTTTTTTTTTGGTCATTTATCTGCTGGAATTTCCGTTTTTAACAGCAGTGGTTATTTTTAGCAAAAAGTAATCATAACTGCTCAAAAATCTTCTTGAGAACTGTTAGAACGATATTCTACTTCATTAGTGTTGCAGGTTAAGTTTTCCTAACATAGATGTACATGCTTAAAAGCTGTACTGCCCAGGCAGTTATGGTAGACATGCAAATTTTTCTGTCCTCTTTCAGTGCTTCTCCTGATATCCTGTGCTTTTTTGTGTCCCTGAATAGAACTCTGTTCTCCTGGAACGCACAGGCAGAGTCCTCAGCCACTTTATCAGCTGTTCTTATCTAATTGCTTGATATTTTAGTTCAAGTATCATTCCTTTTTTTTAGTAACCAGTTTTGGCAGCTGGGTGACACCTCTCTTAAAACTTAAACCTTAAGTGTTACTTACTTAATAACATTTAAAGAAAACCAATGCAAATTCCTTGTTGGCCATGTAACTTCCATTATACTTTAAGCCTTACTATTCTTTGTAGGTTACAATAATATAAATAAATACAGGTCATGTACAGTATAGGTCATTTTAGTATATTTTCAGAAAATCATTTGGTGCCTGTGTAGTACATAGTACATTTATGACAATATAATTATGTTTTCACATATGCATTGCATTAAAAGTAGGCAACCCAGAGTTGAAATACTATGGTTAACGAACACTATAGCCGGTGTGGATGATTTTTCAAAGTGATTGCTAATTCTTCTAAATGTAATTTGTGCCCCAGCTTTGAATAGCCGTGATGAGACTATGGCTATGTTTTACTGTTTGCCAATAATGAGATTAGTGCATACAAAGGATCTTCATTATGCATAAAATAAGGGTTCACCTTTACATTCTCTACTCAGAGATTTGGAGTAAATCTGTCATAGAGAAATGTAGTTGATTGTGCTTTTCACAGGATTTCTTGTTAAAATTCTGTTGCAGAGTCACTTGTTTGTGTGCTCAGTTTGAAGCTGTGTTACAGCACGGTCTGAGGAGGAGCCGAGGATTAGCATTAACAGCAGCAGCAATCAAACAGGCAGCAGGTTTCTCCAGTAAAACTGAAACAGGTAATTCACTTATCATAACCATTCAATTTTTTTAAAAAAATTGTTAAGCGCAAGTGATAAGATTTCTAATGGAAGTTTTGAGCAGTGAACCAAGTTGTCAGCTGTTGGTGGAATACTTGGAATCTTGTTAAGCAGTGAAAATGGTTATTGCTCTTTTAATCCAGTGGTTAACTTTCATACTGAGCTTCTGTAGGAGTTTTGGTACTTGAAAATGTTTACTTCCTACAGTTCCATCATGAATAATATCACTGACAAATATATTTTGACATCTGTTAGGAATGAACATTGTGTAATTGTGTTGTTTATATTCCAGTGGTTTCATTTTTAACCTTATCTTACTCTGTTCTTTAACTGCCATTTTCTGTAGCATCAGATATGCTTAATCCATAAGTATTAATGTCATTTTAAAAGCAAAACTTATATTGTTTTTATTGGGTGGATAGCCAAGACATTTTTTTAAATTACTTTTTACGTATTTTGAAAAAGTGATATATTTATTTTTGTTCTTTCACTTTAAATCTCAGCTTGTGTGCTTTATCAAAAGTATGTGCAGGTGTTCATTAGTTTCGTGGTGAAGTTTAACATACAGCACATCTTTTATCTTCTCCTAACCAGTATGCACATCTTAAAATGAAGCGTTTCTTTTTGGCTTTCAAAACATGTAACACAGTGTGGTATTTTTTCTTTTTTTAATATTCTATGATATTGGAATTGTTAAAATGCTTTGATCTCCAACCATAACTTCCCATTCCACCACACAATTGCATGTAATAATGTTTATGTTAACACTTTATGTGTAGGTTGATATATTGGTGCTCTTAAATTGCTGTAACAAGGGGCTTGTTTCCAGCTGATGATAGGGGGAAATGTTGTTCTTGTGTGCTGACTTTCCTGCTGATCGGTTAGATCCTCCAGACTTTGCTTTCTTGGGGAGTTGAAAAAGCTATGCTTTTAGAGAAGTCTGGAAGTCTCTTTTACTTAGTAACGGGCAGACTAAATGAACAAATAAAAAAAAAAAAAAAGAATCATCTGTTTACATAAGCCTTGCAGATTTTCAGCTCTCCTGAATGCTTTTATTCTCCTTGTGAGTGTTTGTAATTGGGGATTAGGTACTCTGTGGTGCCATTCATTCTCCAGGTAGTTTTCGTTCTATTTTATCACTTTAATGGGTAGCGATTTAGTTGTCTGTTCTTTTCTTTTCCTCTGGCTTGTAGGTGATAGTCTTATGCTTTGATGTAGAGAATGCTCACCTGTGTTATGCTTTCTATGATTTATGCAAATGATGCATCTTTTAATTTTATGCATTCTGTATAACCCTGCTGTTTTTCTCATCTGTTTGTAACATAAAGGGTGTATGACATCTTTGGTCTTGTCTTTTGAGATGATAGTCATAAGATGTACAAAGATGCATCTAGGCTACTTGAGAACTTAACAATTTAGCTACATGGCTGTCCTCTGTCTTATTTGGGAGCTTGTCAGTGATGTGATGTGGAGGAAGAGGAGAAGGTCAGGGAAGTTATTTATGGTTGGGGAAAGGAAAAGGAAGGAAACATTCCTTAAGCTTTTTAAGGAGTAAAAAGAATGTATTGAAGTTGAAGAACAAAATCAGGGCTGCTATGTAGCAATCAAACTGAATGCTGTACAGTGACTAAAACGAGGAGCCTTTTACTTCATTACTTTATTTAGTACTTTACACAGGGAGATTACTGGCCTCCACTGCATTTATCTTTGCCAGTTACAGCATTTCTTTTCTGAAATTAGTTGCAAGGTACCTCCATATTTTTATCGCTTTCAGACAAATTATTTTGGTATGATTTATATTAGTTTCTGTCTAACATAGTCACAGGTGTCATTTTTTTCTTTAACCTTGTGGAATACTGCTGTTTAGGCTGTATATTCAGCCTTTGACAGTTGAAAAGCAAAATTATCCGGCAGTGTTTTTTATTTGAAATTTACAGGTAGCTCATAACAAACCTCTCTTCCAAGAAGTTTAAAAATGTGGGGTACTCACTTCACATCTAAGATCTTCATTTTTTTTAACTTATTTGAAAATTAAAGTTTTAATTAGAAACTTCAGTTGTAGTTGATTGAACCTATCATTTGTCTTGCTTAATTTTTTTTTTAAATATGTATTCAAGTAAACAAAAACAAAATTCTTAATAGCAATCTGATTCGGTATCATTTTATGGCATAGGCAAGAGAGACATATGCAACTTCTTTATTCTCATATATTAAGCAAACTAAACAACAACAAACAATAAAACTACATTCTCTCTGATTTGTAACAAGATAAGAGTTTCTTCATTTAACTTCAGTAAAGATTATGTGAGAATGAATATTGTAGCTGATTTCATTTAATGATACTCTCACTTAAAAGTGAAAGAATTAATATTTCCAATTATAGCAAATGTCTCTACCATGAGATACTTATGAGAAATATGTAACAATTGACAGAATAGACATAAAAATGCACAATGGCTGCACAGTTTTCTTTACTTTTTTTTTCTCTTTTCTTTTCTTTGCATAAGAAGGCAGCGAGCGTGTGTTCAGAACTGATCTCTATGCTGTCTATGCTCTAAACTTGAGACATAGCTAGTGGTTCACGATGATTAATGATGCAATATGGGGTATTGTAGTTATTGGAACTGCAATACTGTTAAAATTACATTAACTGTTTTCACAAAATGATTAATATTTGTGTATTGCATAACCAGGGTTTGCCTATGGTGCAGTTGTCCAAATTGTATATTACTGAAATTAAAATAAATCTTAACTTCTAAATAATAATATGTATTGAATTATTTGTTATGAAAATTAATATTGACAGTTAGGACTTGGATTTTCATTTAATTTTACTCTCAAAGAAAGTAACTTACTGTCTGAAAATGTCCCTTAGATCACTATTTTTAGTAAGTATATCATGGAGGGACTTAGGGTACAGAATGCCTCCACTTAATTTCTGTCAGATAGATCTTGATTAAAAAACTGATGATAATCCAAATTTTGAAGCTTGTCAAAATCCTTGATATTTGTAAATAATCAAAAATACCAGGAAACACTGAGTCTCATGCTAAGCACATGGGTAATGTACTTATTTCCTCTATTCCAGTATTATTTTCACTTCCTTCTTCAGTATTGTTTTGACTTTTAGCAACACAGACAAAAATTTTATTGTTTGTAGGAAACAATAAAATAATTAAATCACTGTTATCTTGATACAAATCTGGCATTTTAAGAACTGTTTTATTTTTTTTTTAGATAAACACACACTTTATCTTTGAGATGCAGATCAAATAAGTTGAAGTCGAAGAGGTAGAACATAGAATATTTGCATGCTCTTGTATATTCTGTGGACTTCCTTATTGTTTGCATGTTAATCTGTCTGTAAGGTCCTACAGTTTGCATCCCATGTGGTCCTGGGCAACCTGCCCAGGGGCAGGGCCAGATGACATCCAGAGGTCCCTTCCAACCTCAGCAATTCTGTGATTGTCAGTTCTGTGGTTCCCTTGCTTCACACATTTGCCTCATTTAAAACAGCTCTGGGTTGTTCTTGCATGGGTGTCAAACCTCACTGGCAAAACTTCAAGTAAATGAGTCTAACCTGTTTGTTTAGGTTTATAAAATTACAGTGTAAATTTTGCTAATCTCATAGTTTTCTGTGGAGACTAATAAACAGAACTGTCCCCCAGATCAGCAGGTTTCTTCAGAAGTCATAACCTGTAAAAACCTCTTCAAAACCTGATTGCATGTTCTTTATTTAGTGTATAGAAAGAGAAACATCATGGAAGGCCTTTTCTTAAAACTGTAACTTCAATAAAAAGGTTTAGAGAAGGGATAAATGAGTGGAGGTTTTTATGCTGCCTAAATTGAGGTTATGATCAGAGGCCAGCATAATATTTGAGGTGATAGTGCACCATTCAGTCCTACAACAGAATTATTTTCCCTGTTTTATAATTTTTTTTTTTTTTTAGAAAAGAGTGAAGACTTCCGTTAAACCGTTAAAAGGAGTGTCTGCATATTTTCCTCAACAGATTGTTGTTTTGAACTTTGAGGAATGCTTAGTTTTCTCAGTTTTTTTCTTCTTAAAAACCTCTCTTCCTTAAATTCAGTCTCTTAAAATGTTGCAAAATAGCTTTCAAATCAAAAAATAGCTTTCAAACTCTTCTCGTTATTTGAACAATTCTATTTATAACAAATCAAAGCCACATAAACATACTTGTTAATATTGTTTTTGAGGTACTTGCAAGAAGTATGTATTTGATGCAATATTAAGGTTTATTGATTGCAAAGCTATACCATGTAGTAATGATTCAACTGGTGAATTATCTGATGTTTGGTTCTTCTTTCCCCCCTAAGAAAATGGTAAGAGGTCAATTGGGATAAGTATGTCCTTAAATTGTGTTCTTACTCAGTTAAGAAACAGGAATACCTGAAATACTAGGTGTTCTATTGTGCATGTACAATTGCTGATGTGGATTTTTGTTACCTGCAATTGAGAAATCGCAAGGAAAGTATCTTAGTGGAAAGGGGTATTGTTGCCTTTTCAGTTTAACACTTGACTTTGTCACTTGCATGTCTACAAATTATGGAGCTTCCCATTCCTTTGGACCTTGCTTCTATCATTTCATAACAGACAGCAAAATAGCATTTTAGAGCGTTTTTTTTTCATTGCATAGTATATTTACAGCTGAACCTGTGAACCTGTTTTATGAATGATATACTAGCTTAAATACACTTGAAAATTTGAATTTGGTTTCAAGATGTAAGATAGAATCCTTTGATGTGTTTGGCTTCTTTAGTGAAGTAAAAAGTTCGAAGTGCTTAAGTAGCCTAAGTTCTGTAGAAATAAATAACCTATTTAACTGAGGAGTTATACAAAGATGGTAAATGATTCACCTTTTGTACAAGTTATATACCATTTTCTTGTTTTATAAAATTACATGATAGGAGATGATTTACTGTGTGTAACAATGTTGGTTCTGAAATTATATGTAATGAAACTCACAAAATAAATTTTGATAGAAAGTAGAATAGGTAAAAGAGCTAAGATGGATTATTTTATTTTATTATTTTTTTTTTTTCCCCAGAGCCAGTGTTTTGGTACTATGTGAAAGAAGTTCTGAATAAACACGAACTGCAACGCTTTTACTCTCTAAAGACAATTACTACAGATATTGGCAGAGGCCGGGCTTGGTTGCGCTGTGCACTGAATGAACATTCCCTGGAAAGATATGTTCATATGCTGCTTGCAGACAAGAATCGACTTAGGTACTGTATTCGATGTCATTGTAATGCTGGAAATGTGCATGTTTTGACAAATGAAATATGGAGATTTAAAAAACAAAAACAACAAAAAATAGCCAAACAAACAAAACCCCCAGATACAGCTGTCATAATATACCATATTAACTGTTGTGCTAGTGATGCACATGTTTATTGTGTTTATTTTTGAAATTTTGACAGCCATTGAGATACGGTGTCTTGTGCCTGTATCAACATGTAACCTGAAACTGGCTTCATGCTTACATGTGAGAATATATTTTCCTATCCTCATATTAATTTCCATTCTCCTTCCTGACACTCTTCCCTACTCTTCCAACAGTTTTCCACCCTGAGACCTGAATAGCGTAATGAGAGGGGCTTTGAAATAGCCCTTCCCCCTCTAATAAAATAACATATTATTGCAGCCTTGATCTTACCAATTCCACAGTAGTTGTTTGTTGCCTGTTTGGAGGTGCTCACCCTGTAATTTTGAAGCTCCACCGGTCAAGCAATATGTAGCTGGTGCTGCAGGTTACTTGGAAGTGGTTTTGTATGTATTTGCGAGCCTTCTTGTTACAGAGTTACTGTGAGAATAATTTACTGTGTATTGTGAATTCCGAAGGTATTTTCGATGTGCAAAATGCACTTAGATTCATTCATGCTTCTTTTCGCATACATGTTCAGATCATTTTCTTTTTGGAAACCTGTGATATTTATTCTCAATAATTGTTGAGTTTGAGTCAGCCCAGTAAATTCAGCAGGAAGTCACTCTTTCCATTTGCATCAACTAATGGATATAATAGCAGAGCTGAGTTCTTTAGTGCCTTTCAGTCTGTCCCAATTCTCTGCAGCCTTCTCGCAAGACAGATTTTGGTATGAAATCAAATAAATATAAGAACAAAAAAAAAATATCTGAAAACTGTTCTGAGAGATTAGTGATTGGAATTGCTAAGTCACTACTTACTACCCTGATGCTTGTACCAGTATTTGTAATATATCAAGATTGTCAGCACTGAGTGTTGTACACGAACTCTTATTTGCTACAAAAGTGTATTCTAGAATATTTAAGGTTTAAATGTTATCAAAATTCAAGTGGGAGTTGCAGAATCACTTTATGTCCTGAACTCTTACCTGGTTTGGAAACTTCTAAATGAACCTGTCTTGTTTAATACAGGTTGAGGTCTTTCTTGCTGTCTGTTTCTATGTTTAGTTAACTGAATGCTGATAGCAAAAATAGAGCATCGTGCTACTAAAAAGAGCTAGATTTAGAACAAGTAATTGATGCATTCATAGTGAACTTAAGCATTTCTTACGCAATTGTGTAAATGGTCTATATATTTCAGGGCTTCAGGGAGTTACGGTAATATATTTGATCTGTTGGGTGTGCCCATGCTTATTTTTCAGAGTTCTCATGTTTTAGAAGTGGAACATACGTTAATATCAGACTGCATATTCTTTGCTTTTTTCCTTTCAAACTTTAGTGTCTTCTATGAAGACTGGTCTTTTATGATGGATGAAGAACGTTCTAGTATGATCCCTACAATGGCAGCGGGTAAGACCTCTTATATGCTACTATTCTGGGAAAACTATTTCATTTTGAAGTGTTATTTCTGTTCATGGTTGTAAGGTGCTTCTCTCACCTTTATGTGGAGAATGTGCATCAGATGCATGTTCAGGGGTCAAGGTATTATGCCAGTTTGTTATGAACTTTTAAAACACTGAATCTGGCTTTTCTACTGTTCAGAAGTCTTCCAGGCAAATTTTCTGACCCTTCATCTGTAATAATAACTCCCCACCCCCTTCCCACCTCACAAAAATGTCTCAATTTAAAAAAAAAAAAAAAAAAAAAAAAAAAAAAGTGTTGTTCCTGAGCTTAAAAGAACAAGGATAGACTTTTCTTAGTAAGGCCCAGATTGTAGGTAAATAAATGGGAGTAGAGTAAGAGTTAAGAACTGGCTACAAATAGCTTACTTCTATGGAGTTAATATATCACAGAAGTGATATATTGTTACTGTGTACATCTACTTCCCAGATACATGATCACCTGCTTCCTTCCGCAAGATACCATTCACAGGAGGTTTTTTATAGAGTATAGGAGCCAACAAATAATAAAGCTGCAGTGAAACTGATTTAAATATGAGCTTATAAATACACCAGCTCAGCTGCACATTAAATATGCAAAAAGTACTGTGAGCAGCCATCAAGATAAATTCAGAAGCGATTGCGTGAGCTTGAATAGTATCAAACAAAGAACGAATGGTACAGGGAAGGGTAAGAATTCAGGCTCAGAGGAATGTAGGTGAATTTTTGGGAAAAATATTTTACATGTCAAAGCTTTATTACGTGCTTAAGTTTTATTTTTGTAACTTTTGCATGAAGTATATAGTGGGGTTTTGATCTTATTTTTTCCTTTATCTGAAGGTCTGAACTCCATTCTTTTTGCCATCAACATTGATAATAAGGATTTAAATGGACAGAGCAAATGTACACCCACAGTGTCTGATCTGTTAAAGGAATCAACACAAAATGTAACCTCATTATTGAAAGAATCCACTCAGGGTGTTAGCAGCCTTCTCAGAGAGATAACTGCATCCTCTGCTGTCTCCATCCTAATAAAACCTGATCAAGACACTGACCCACTTCCTGTTCTCTCAAAGAATGTAAATGCTGGTAAGCATTTTTGCTGTGTTAGAATCATTCAAAAACTTTCAAAATGTTAATGTGTGTTTAAATATTTTTTTTCAATTAAATTTAATATACTAGTGACCTGAATTTTAATTTCTTAATCATAAGATTATGTCTCGCAGTTTCTGATGTAATGATTTTTTTTTTTTTTTTTTGATATGATTACATTTGGCACTTTATCAGTCAGAAATATACAGCCATATATCTGTTGTTATATACTGGATTAAAAATTTAGATTGCTGTCTTCAAACACCACCCATGTTTAGAGTCTGAATTCCTATATGAAACAGATAATTACCACAAATGAAAATCTACTCCTTTTTTTTTTAAACAAAACAAAAAAACAAGCAAAAACTCAAAACATGTTCAAATGCTTTTGTGTTGCAACCAGCTTGTAGGGTATAGTCAATAACATGAATCCAAAGTCTTAATGTCCTGTAATTTGAAATTAATCAGGTAAAATGTGATATTTATTCTACATTTTCAGTTGCAAAAATAACAAAGGAATATTTTACCATCTTTATTTCCAGAAGTAGAGCTGAGAAGATGCTTTGCTTTGTAAAGTTACAAAACTGCAGAAAGACTCTTGGATTTATGTATTTTTCATTTAAAAAGCAAGGTTTGAATTTAGGCTTTAAATAGTTTTGGTTATGATAAAAAGAAAAAGTGTGAATGCTATCTGGTAGGAATAGGTGTTGAGATAAAATCTATTTTTTTATTGGCATTTAAAATTTTGTCTTTAAAATGACATTCAAAATAAGCTTGAAGTAAAGCTTTGGTTTAGTGTTTTAAATGAGATTAAAGTAGGTGATATTTAACTTGGGATAACTTTTTAAGTATAGAGTAGGCTTTCAAGATGAAATAACTGACATGCTGCACATGTCTACAACACAATGCATGTTATTTGTCTAGGTCATGCACATACAGTACATGCACTGTAAAACTTGCAATAAATCTTCCATTGAGAAAGTTGGTGTATTCAAATGAAATTATGTGCTGAATATAAAGTTAAATGTTTACATTAAAGTCAATGTTCTTTGCTGGAATTCTGTTTGCATTAAGAATGGATTTTAACTTCTTGCTCTTAAAAGTATGTTAATCACTGTTGTGGATATATAACAGTGGGACTTCACTTAAAACAGTTTAGTCACAGTGTTGTGTGGATGAATAAATTTCTGATGTTTCTAGGGGTGCTTCAAACTTGCAAGATCATTTATTCTCATTGATTATGATGTGCACATGAGGCTAGCTAATCACTGAAAAATGACCGTCACGTCTTAGATATGATGTAGTCAGGATTTCATTGTATTTCAAAAGCAGGAACTAATTAGCTGAGAGAAGGAGCAAGATTTTTACTTTCTTTCTTTCTGAAAACTAACTGCTCTATTTCTAGAATGTAGACAAAACTGTCTTTACTTGATTACAAGTTTTTTTTTTATTTTCTTGAAATTGTTGGATGTTTTATCTGTTGTGTAGACATACCTTGCAATATACACTAGCTATAATCCATGTGAGAAGGTGATGGAAAGGCTAACTTTTTCTCTTAAATTTTATTTTACAAGTTTGAACTTTTTTTCCACTTTCAATTGAATACTGTTATTAATGCACATCTGAACTAACTTTTAAAATCTGAATTATATAAAGCATATAAACCTTTAAGTACCATCTTTATTTTATAAGCTAACATGTATGGAAAGATAATGAATGGCATCAGGGATCTAATTGTCTTTTTTTTTCTAGCTCATTTAGTTCATGAGTTCTGTTAGGAAAAATTACAAATGTATTACGTTATTTTTCTTTTTTTAAAATATGAAAATCTTTATGTTGCTTCTAGACTTGAAATCTAAAAAGGATCGCAAAAAGAAGAAGAGAGTGACAAATATAATCTCATTTGATGAAGAGGAAGATGAACAAAATGTGGGGGATGCCACAAAACCTCTGGTTACAGGAGAAAGTTCAGAGGAGAATTTAGATAAATCTTCAGTTTTTATATTACCCTCATCTGAAACCAGTCTTGGAAAAAGTTTGAGCGGAAATGAAAGTAACCATTCATGGAAAAGCAATTCAGTGTTCATGAATGGAGAATATGAATACCAGAAACTAGATGTGAAGAGTATTGATGATGAAGATGCAGACGAAGATGAGCTTTATGGAAAAACACTAGGAAATAAAGGCACAGAAAATGAAATTGAACCTTCAGAAAAGTAAGTAATTGAAGGAACAAGTGATAATTTTTTCATGCTTTTTTTTCCTCTTTACGTCTCTTTTTTTCAGGGGTACTGGCTAATTTGTGTAACTAACAGAAATCCCTGCACTTAGGGTTTTCTTTAGTCATTCTTTGTTTGAACCACTTGGACTAGTTTGGAGATATTTGGAATCTAAGTTCCACTTAAAAACACAATATTGAGATTTCAGATGTTCTCCATGAGGTTCTCAGATGTTTAAATTCTTGCGTGATATAGCCAAGCTATAATTCTTACTTTTTATGCTACTTGCTTATTTTTGGTATGATACCAACTTCAGTTTGGCTTAACAGTAAACCCACATATTATTAAATAGAGACTGACAGTATTCAGTGTAGACATTAACCAAGACAAAAACATAAAACTGATGGTTTGGAATGATCTTATCGTAGAATCATGGAATTGTAGAATGGTTTGTATTGGAAGGGCCCTTAAGGATCATCTAGTCCTTGTCCATGGCAGGAGGTTGGAACATCTCCTACTTCCCAACCAGACCACGTTGCTAAAAGTCCCATCTAGCCTGGCCTTGAACACTGCCAGGGATGGGGCATCCACTGGGCAGCCTGGACCTTGCCACCCTCATAGGGAAAAATTTATTCCTAATGTCTAATCTAAATCTCCCCTTTCTAAGTTTAAAACCATCACCCCTTGTCCTTGTCTTATCGCTACACTCCCTCATAAAGAGTCCTTCCACATCATTCCTGTGGGCCTGCTTTAAGTACTGGAAGGCCACTATTAGGAATTTATGTACATCTTTGTCGATTTATGTACATCCAAACCAAAAAGTTGGCAGACAGATGGAAATAAAGGTTTTTCTTGCAATGATACTTCCGAAAGAAATGTGAGTGTTGTGAAAATTAATGCTGACTGTTTATATAGGTTTTATTTTCTTAATCTAGGCCTCATGAAATAGTCACATGCAACTCTCAGATATGCAGTTGGAGTCCTCTGCAGGTCCTGAATGATGACTCAGATGTTCTATTTCCTGTCAGTGCTGTTGGCTCTTACTCCCAGACTGGTAAGTATTTTAATTCTATCTCATGCCAACAGAATTTGTAAGAAAACTTCTAACATGGGACGATGACAAATAGTATGGGATTATGAGGATTTAACAAGATACCATACAGCTGGGACAGGATCTTTGAATACATTTTTTTTCTAGATAGGAGACAAAGTTATTTGAGTAGTCTTATACTTAGCTCATATCTAAGCTGTTTAATTGAGGAGGATTTACCCATATCAAAACAGACCAGAGTTTTGTTGTGATTAAGCTGTGGTCTTGTATGTATAGTATTTTACTAATGATTTGGATGGTTGACTAGAAAGTATCCTTATCCAATTTCTAGGTACAACTAAGCTGGAAGAAGCTGAAGTGTTTTTGATAATTTGAATTTAAATTAATCTTGACAGATTGGAGAAACGATTAAATATTGGATGTAGTTCAATAGAAGCTGTTATCTGTGTATATACAGGGTGAGGAATGATTGGCTAGGAAATACTTCCTTGGAAAAGGATATGGGAGATACAGTGGGATACAAGCTGATAGTAAGTTATCAGTTCTGTGCTTCTACAATAAAAGCACATTTCATACTGAGATGCGTAAATGGAAGTATCACTTGTAAGTTTATGCTCATTTGGCTCAGCTGCAATATTAAGTGCAGTACCCCAAACTGCATATGAACGGTGATGAGGACCGTTTAGAGATCTTGACGAAAGCAATGAGAGTGGTCAAAGGTATAGAAAAGAAGGTCCAATGTCTGTGTTGGTAACAAAACAAAAGAATTCCCCCTCAAAAATCTTGAAGTTAATATTTTGCTAGCTGTTTATAAAGCATTGCTTTTATAAAACTTGGGGTGTGTTCTCCTTTCAGTGACTATTAATAACTTCTCAGTGGCATTCAAATAATCTATTGTAGTGGTAAAATATTTCATGCTTTTTGCATATACATTATTTATGCTGGGAGTTCGAACAGACTGTTAACTGAGTGGCTGTGAAAAAGAAATTTCACTTCTGTAAGTAAGATGATAAGAATAACATGATTCGTACAATAATGCTGTACTGCCCTCTGCTGTATTTTAACATTTGTACCTCTTATGAAATGTGAGTGGTTAATATAAAGTACAACCCATTTTCTTCTAGCTTTCCCAGTAACTGGCAAGCTCATTATTATTATGATAAGATTGCTGCTAAAGCATAGTGAGCTTTTATAAAATACAGAGTTTAACTCAGTGTTTTACTCTAAAGGTCTTACACAGATAACTAACAAGATATGTATCTATTTCAAATATATTACAACATACAGTGTTGTATGCTTATATGAGTTTTCAATTTTAGTCTGCTGCTGTGCTTCAAGGATGTGTCAGGGCATATCATATCTCCATGTACCTAGAGATGAGAGATCCTGAATCAAAAGTCAGGTGCCTGGAAGAAAACTGGAATATACAGATCTATACTGAGCTTCAGTAAACTCTACAGCATAAAAAATGAACTTTCTTCTCCATAGTCATCCTGACATAACTCTAATTCCCATCAACTTCTTTCCTGCTTCTTAAATTCTATATAATATTTTTTTAGCTCATGATTTCAGGTTTGTTTTAGGGTAACTTTGTAACCCTTACATACTGATACCAGAAAATGTAAATGATTCTTTTTTTTTCTTTTCTTAATATGTTCACAGAAGGTAGGTGGTGTTGTTTTTCCTTTCACCTGACCCACTATCACGGTGGGCCCAGTGATGTGTATATTTTGATGCTGACAATTGTGTATCTGTGGACAGATGTATATTATCCATGCTTTCCTGAAAAGTATCTGATTCCTGGTATTTGGTTCACAGCCTTATGTACTATATGTATACATAGTAAGTCAGAGAAAAGCTATGGTGCTCTGTTGGGAATGTATAAAGGACTGGTTCCTTTGCAAGGTTTTGGATATTGGGGACTAACCACAGATTTATTTCCTGCAAGTCACAAAACAGACTTGTAATGAGTATCAGATGCCGTGTTAATTAAACTCCCGGGGCTTGCAAAAATAACTTCAATAAGAAGTCTCTTCATAGATTTATAACATTGCTGTCAATGTTAAATGTCTATGTCTAAACTATAAAAAGAAGTTTTGCAATAATTTTTTGCTAAACTGATGGCTATGTTACAGTCCTGCTGGCATTGAGTGTGAAAGTACAGAAGCCCGCTTTGGAGAAAGCTTTTAAACACTTACAATTCTTTAGTAAAGGTAAGTATTGCTTTATTTAAGTACTGTTAATTGAAGACGCTTATGCATGTGCATTCTACTTTAGATAACCTGGAGAATGGAGAGAGACATGAAAGTGGTGTTCATGCAGTAGAACTGATTCCAAGAAGATCTGATCATCCTTACAGGTACATGTCAAGTATGTTTTAAAATAAAAAAAGCAAAAAAACACTTTCCACCTATAGCTGCTAGTTTAGTATTGTTGCCTAACAAACAGCTACTCTGTATTCGAAAACAAACCGTTATCAGGCTACTCATGGAAATTTTTGGAAAGACAAATGCAAAAGCCTACACTTCCCTAATTTTATAGTTTTAATATATTGTACTTTTCCTGGTCATTTTGAAGAAGTCACGTAGTTATGTCAATTTGAATTGATAAGCGAGCATAGCCTCCAGGTTTTGGAAATAGCTTTTATGTTGTTGTTTATTAACCATACTCTCCGTGGTCTGTTGATTTGAGCCTTTTTTGTGTGTATTGAAAAATCAGATAAAACAGATACATTAAAGGTTAATTAAACAGAAGTTGGTTGAATATGAGTTGTTTTGTGTATGATTACATGCATTAAATAGATGACGAGACTTCTAGTTTCTTTTTGCTTCAGTTTTGAATTCAGGATTTTGTCTTCATTAATTGATGACATTGTACTTTTATGACTAGACTGGAAGTCAATCCTGCAGCTCAAGTGAATACTTTAAGCAATATGTTGCCTTCAGCCACTGTGCCGGAATCCATGACAATTAGTAAGTACTTCCTTGATGTATCTAGATTAATGGAATTAACTTTTGAAGTCCTTCATTTCTACTCTTATTTCGAGGAGATCTATTTAGAGAGGCATGGAGCACTTCATTTCTGATGTGCTGGTCACATTAGAAATGATTCTGAATTGGCTGATAACAGGTTATGGTTCGTTGCAGCTTGTATGACATGAGCCTCTTTTTCCACAGAACTGCTATAAATATTCTTATACTAGTTGTGGCCTCAGTATTTAATAGTAATGATTTAATTTGTTTCACATCATTCAATTTCTGCACGTTCTAAAAATGCTAATGGCTTGTTCTGATGTGGTCTTAATTATTTGTCCTGCTTTTTAATGCCAGGAGAGCAAAGAAAAAAACCCCAAGAACTCTACTCAGCCTATGGTTTTAATAGGGAAAATCTGTTCCAAACGTAAATGTGGCCTTTCATGAACAAAAACTTTATTTAAGATTAAGGTGGAAGACTTATTTTCATTAGTGTTAAGGGTTGAACTGGACAGAATAAAATGGCCTTTGCTGTAGGAGAGAGATCAGTAGTACTGTCTGTTTATTTATTCCATCTTCCATCCTTTTCTTTACATAAACTTGCAGAAAGAAAACTTAATACTTATACTGGCTTACTTATTTGCATAGCTGGACAGTTTGGCTTTTTCTTTCTGTACAGAAAGTTCTGTAACTGAGCTGGTCTATGTGGCTTTGTTCCTATAGCTCTAGGGTGTGTGTCTGTGTTTTTTTTTTTTTTTTTTAAACATAAATATGTACAAATCTTAAATGATAACATTTGGGCATACAGAAGTGATGAGACAAGATTCATTTGAGAAAGTGATTTACGAAATCATCAAAATGAATGAACACTATGGTATTCTAACCCTGCGTTCTATTTTCATGTTCAAATGGTATCTGGTTGATATGTTAAAAGTAAGCCATGAATTTTTGCTGGATTCTGATTCAGGCTCTAGTAATTATCTGCTGAGTGAGCCTTACAAAGCTGAAAAATCCTTTCCTACAAAGTGCTTTATAAAGTAAAAATCTAGTTTGAGACTTTGAAGTGACAGTTGAAGATGTAGATGAAGTTACTGTTGGAAGCACTGTGATGCTTTGGTCACTGGGTGTTTTCTGTTCATGGTGTTAATATAGTCTAATCCTTTTGTACTTAAACTTTAGCTTTGTTCTTTAGTCGTAGAATTTTAATGGCAAATGTCCTATTTTTATTGCACTTCAGTGATTTTATTGTTGCATAGGTACCAGCAGGGGCCGCAGTTGGTCTCTTTCAGTTGCGCAGTGCACATGTGTAGTTAGGACAGCTATAAAACAAAGTAAACCTTGGGATTTTCAATTGTTGATACTTAGCAGTTTCTAAATGAAATGAACCACAGTATCAGAAGAAACATAATCATTAGCTTTCCGTTTCAGACAAGGTTTTGAGGAAACACATAAGCTATGAAGCCAGTAGAACCATTGGTAAATAATTACTATAATGAAAATTCAGCTGGCTATACTTTTAAGTTAATATCTTTATAATAGCTGATCCTAGATACATTAAATAAAAATCCTTTTTTTCAAGTTTGTTATTACAAATCGTAGGTTCTCTATACAGAAAGAATTCAGTGCTATGATGTACCCAGACACTGAAGCTCTTTTTCTATATTGCAATTACCAGAAGAATTATTAAATGGTGAGGCTTATAGCTTGGTTGCATGGCAACTAATTCTAACACATCAGGAAAGAAAAATGTAATGCAATAGCGTAGAGAGAAAAACTGTGAGGTCTCCAGTGGCTGTGGATTTTTGTGCTGTTTAATTCTGAAGACAAAGCTTGAAAAGAGTTTTTTCTGAATCTGTTCTTCCCCTTCTTCCTTTCCATTTTGTTTGTATAGTGCTAACTTTTTTGTTTTTTAAAGTTAGGACAATTTGTTTTCCACAGTAGAAGGCCCAAAATACATTGTCTTTTATTTCCTACTAAAATTTGCCTTATTAATAGTGACATGACAGGCTAATATTTAGAGGATTTTGGAGCAGTAAAGCCTTAATAGCCAATGTTCATGCAAGCGGCTTTGGGAGCATGTCTTGAAAGGTCAGACTTCTTATTTAAGATGTAACTAGTCTGCTGAAGGTTTTATTTTGTCTCAGAAGATACCCGTGTAAATTTGCATCCAGGAAAATAAAAAAAATCATTTCTGTAGACTGCTCCCAGCCCTCCCTGGTATTCTATCTGCAGGATTGCAGAGGAGTGCTGCATGACCTTGTGTACACTGAGAGATGATTTCACTTACAGCTCATTCTTCATAACAGGTGATTGCAAATCATATTTATCCAATCTTTCTTTGGTTAAATAGCTCAAGAGTTGTGAAGCTTAAGAATTTTCTGGAGATTGCTGGGAAATTTACAGGTGCTCCATAAAACATGTCACTTTTAAAACCTATTTCATGCTCTGGATGTGAATTTATGAAAGCTGTTTAGAAGTTAGATTATTTAAGTAGTATACAAGTGAATTAAAAACATTTTAAAGCAAATATTTACTTTATTATTAACTAGGCACTACAGATTAATTTCAATAATAGAAGTTAATTACTGGAATTTTAAAATGCGAGATTTAATATGAAAAATCTAATAAGCACATTCTTAGAATTTCATGTTATCTTTTTTACTGCTAAAGAAAGAATTGGTTTAGAGTTTTTGGTTTGTACCTGGGAGTCTTTTTTTTTTTTTTTTTTTTTTTTTGAGGTGGTTTTGTGAAAATAGCTCTTAAGATTACATAATTTGAAAGACTTGATGAGTTATTTTATATCTGTCTTTATGAAACGCTGATTATCACTTGGATTTTAGATATGTTGGTGCTAATGCTGCTTCTTATGAAAGTAGTGTATCTCTTTCTGTTAATATTACTTTACAGAGCGTAAATGACTATATCAAGCTCAAAGCAGTTCAGAAGTAGGACATAAACTCTGACATCAAACAGTTGTCTGAAGCACTTATACTTGGCTATCCTCCCACTGCTTTATTAAAAGGAAAAAGGGGAGGGTGGGGGAAAGAGGGAGAAAGATTGAGCCTGCAGGTGGAAGTCAGAAATTTGTGGTTGCTGGTACAACCTTCAAGTTGGTGTGTATCATCCTGATTCCCTCCCCACCCCATCCCCAGTTCCTTCTTCTAACCCTGACACTGAATAAAATATAAGTGCTGGAAAAACATTATAATCGTAAACTGATCTGAGGCAAGCATAACCCACAAACGAGAGTAACAAACTGTGGATGTTCTGGCAGATTTGAGGTCAACTTGCTGCAGTGCATGATGCTGGATTTACTTTGTTGTGTTCAGCTGACTGCTCTCACATATTGCAAAAAAATTTAGAGAAGCACAAGTGAGAGTAGGAAATTGCAATTTTGAAAAGTTTTGAATGTTAGGCTTGAATTAGAATAGGATCTGTCCTTTTAATTCACTTCAGTTATATCAAAATATCATGAATTTGGAAAAAAATGTTGTGAACAGTGTTTCTCTCTCTCTCTTTTTTTTTTTTTTTTTTTTTTTTTTTAACTTGGTAATCTATATTTATTTACCACTAGTAAATACTAAAGCACAGGCTGTGCAAGCCTTCCTGGAACCTTGGCTGTCCAGCCCAGCCCAGTTGTCTATGCTGATGCTTCCTTCCACATCTCCACTGATGCTGGAGTTGGACAAAATTAAGGAGAAACACTGAGTATGAGTGTTTGCTTTTGTGGTCCTAAATTAAGCATTGATTTGCTTAATTTCAATTCCTATACATTATCATGAAATTGGAAGTGTCTGCTTTGCTATATCTTTAACAATACTGCAAAATCTATGATTTTCAGGAAAAAAAAAAATCAAATATAAATAAGAAGTCTTCTAACTTTTATATCAAGAGACTTTTTGCTCCTTTTTTTTTTTTTTTCCCCAAAATACAGTCTTTATGAGAATCTTGCTTACATGATCTGCTTACGTTGTGTGTGTTGCAGAGAGAAGTGAGAGAAGATGCAGTAAGGGAAAGAAGATCTAGTTAGTAGGCAAGTTAAGGTTACAGTTTGAATAGGCAGGTAGAATTGGAAAAGTGGAGACAACTTAAAATCTGTCAGTTAAATGTTAATAACTCAGTACACATTTAAACAGACAGGATGCATACCACCAATTATTGTAGAGTAGTGACCCCAGTGTTAGTACAGTCAGCCCCACAATAACTTGTTTGAGTGGCAATGGCTTTAATTTATTGAGAAGCAGAGAAATAATAGCAGCTTACTCAGACTGTCGCATTACCATACTTTAGTGACCCTCTTGAAATATTTAAAAAGCATTGTCTTAATGCTTTCTTGAGGTGGATTCTAAATTCAACATAATAGTTAGAGATTGTTATTTTATTGTCGTGTTACTGTAGTGAAAGCTTACTATGAATGTTTTTTGCTTGTACTATACACTTATATAAGGCTTGAACAATTCTTGGATTGTTCTGTTTTCCTCATCCTTTAAACAAATTTTTACTCTTCACGTTGACAGAATGTGGTCCATTTTCATAACACCGTGTATTAGTGGTGGTTACATATCATAACGTTACATATTAGGACTATTAGAATCCACCAATTTTCTACAGGTGCCAAAACAAAAATAAAAACTCCAGTTTTTCCAAGCTGCCCATAAAGTGGCAGTGTCTCATCATGACCAAAAGAATACTAATAAAAAAATATGTAAGTCTCAGAATACAGTCTTTTTTTCCCTCCAAAATAAATACTAGTAAGTAAGAAGCTATTACAGACTCTTCTGAAAAACAGTCATGAAAATACTGGAGCATAGTCTATTTGGTAGTATCAAATCTTTTCGCTCTAAGATTTTTTTTTTTTTTTTCTCCCTACAATTGCTCCATAAATTGCAGTGGTTGCCTGGTCAGAACTCTATTCTTGCAAAAAGGATGTTCTGCCCTGTACTCCTCATCCTTAATGGCTAACAAGGTGTTCTGTTCTGCCCTGCCTGCTTTCTGCTGTGTGCCTTTTACCAGCAGCAGTACTGAACTTGCCACTAAGATCACTTGGAAACTCTTTGTCTGAAAAGTAGCCCACCAGAAAAATGTGATTTTGAGCTGGATCAGTTCCTGCGAGGACACTGTATACAAACACTGGTGCCAGCACAGGGACGGCAGTAGGAGTGATGGGTGAAGAAGCATGCTGGAACATTCTTCATGCTGAGAGCACTGCCTTAGGAAATCTGATTAAGTACTTAATGTAATCGCAGCTTTGGTTTTGAATGCTAGTAATATTATTGACGGAGAAAGCAGAAACCTCCTTTTTTTTTTTTTTTAAGTTAGTGTTTAATACCCACAAATTTTACTTTGGCTTCTCTACAAGATTTGGAATCTTTCTTTTGGTTGGCTGTATAGAGAACTCATAAAGATGCTAAGTTACTGTACAAAAATAATTGTTCTTTCTGTGCTGAATTAATGGAGTGCAAAGTCCCTCGACCTACTGAAATGTTTCTTGCTAATGCCAGCTACTTCTCAAGCTGTAATGTGGAATGGGTGGAAAAATAATTGTCTAATTTCTTCATGGCCAAAGACGCAGAAATGGTTTGAAAAGAATCCACCATGAGCAAATAGGATTGGCAGATTTCAAGTGATAACAGAACCCTGCAGAATCCTGCAAAGGGGAATTAACCAGCAGATTAGCAATGCCAGATTTGAATTGTGGTGTCTGCACTGACTGATACACTCGATTGATGTAGTATAAACTTTTACATTTTGTCCATTACTAGGAGTTGGACAGACTTAATCTGGTCCACAGTACAATCTTCTTTTTTTTTTTTTTTTTTAATGGGCAAAAGCTCCTGTCACTGTAGAAAAATATGAAGGAAGTTATGGGTAAGCCAGTGAAATTAATCTAGGGAGAGAAGAAAGTTGTCCAGTGGCTTTGCTTGCTCGCAGAAATTAAGTAATACCAGTTCGGTTAATATGGTTTCAGTAAAAGCTCAGAAAATTTGCTGACATCTGCTTTGAATACTTGCAGAACACAGTCATCGGATTTATTGTATTTATAAACAGGAACAGTTTGTTTAACTGTTAGGGGGATGTTATAATGTATTTTGTCCCTGCAGAAGGTCTCTAAAATTATTGATAAACCTGTGTGAAATTGTTAATCAAGCTTTCAAAAAAAAAAAAAAAAAAAAAGATTAGTTTAGGGCACATGTCCATTCAGATGTTTGCAGATAAGCCATTCAAATCTTTGAAGATGTGCTTCATGTATTTCAGGGATTTGTGCAGTATCTGGAAGTCGAAATCTGTTTTAGATTAGGTGATTAATTCCTAATATTTTTCAGTAAATTTGTAGTAAATAGTAATAGTACAGCTGTACAGTTGCATGGTAAAAACTTCATAATAGCTGCAGGACTCCAGGTGCATGGCTTCGAGTTGACACTTCTCTGTACAGCACAGAAAAGCTACTCTAAAAAAAGCTAACCCTAAAGAAGGCAAGGAAGTACTGACTTGTGTACAGGCAGAAGATCCTTAACTTATCCCCTCACTGAAACTGCAAATCTCCCTTGAAATGGTAGTGCTGCTGAAGATGGCATTTCTTACAAGTTCAAAGAAAATGTACGTTATTTATTTATTTATTTTTAAGTTCTAGATGTAATGATGTGATGAGGTATTTTTGAAGGTATTTATAAGAAATAAAAAGTTTTTTGTTGGTAATAGCAGAATTCAGAAAACCTGTTGTCTCTAAAACAGTAGACTGAGATTGAGTTGAGTCAATCTCTCTTCTCTGGTCTCACAGTAATACTGTCCTGCATGTTCTGCATCAGGTTTTATAGCAAGGAAAACACTAGCAAAGATATATAGCAAGGAAACATTTGAAAATGGTACACAAGTAACAATATATTTCACTAATATGTTTCCAGTGAAAAGGTGCATTGTATCCTAAGATGCCCCATGTGGCTGTGATTGAAAATAAATCAGCTGTAGCTGTAGACAGACATTTACAATGTTTGCATTAAAGCCAAATACAGACTAGGTTAGTTTGATCAGTACTTCTGGTATGATGTTTAAATAATACAGTTTTTGAAAGATTGCTCAAGTCGGTGATGAGATGAAGAGAATTGTTAGGTGCTTTGCTGAGTAGCAAATGACCTTGACATCATGTTAAGTGTGTTGCTTAATTAATGACACTGTGTATGTGACTGTTAGATCTGAAATGAACAAAAATATACATGGAAATTAACCTTTTTTGTCCCTTCTTTTTTGTCTTTAGACGAACTTCGTCAAGCTATTGTGGCCATGATGAACAGAAAGGATGAACTGGAAGAACAGAATAGGTAGTTTTCTTTTTTCTAGTCAAGAGGCACTATATAATTTCAAAAACCTGTTATCATTTGATTTCTCTAATACAAGCTGTCCTTTGTATAAAGGACAAAGGACATAATCTTTTTGTCATCCTCCTGATATCTATCTATCTATCTATAGTAGCATATCTATAGATAGATATATCTATAGATAGATATATCTATCTATAGATAGATAGATAGACATATTTGTAAAAGGTATGCTTAGTAGTTTAATATTCAGCTGTGGATACTGACAAGTAGTGTTTACAGGTCTACTTTTTCCTTCGATTTCAAATCACATATAGCCATTTGTCTTTGGGAGGTTTCACAAGTTGTAGTTTTTTCAAAACCAAAACTTACAGCCAAAAGATTCCTACTATCTCTTAAGGCAGCTTTCTGAAAAAGTGAAAGTTTGTCCTGATTTGTTTATGCAAATATTCAGGAAGTTTCTTTTTTCCGCTTTCTCGTGCAGAAATGATGTAGGACCACCAACAATGTTACACTGAAAGTGGCTGTCATTTGTGAATATCCTCATGTTTACCTTGGACAAAAAAATGATGTAAATGTGAAAAATGTCATTCATTTAAAATGCCATCAAACCTACTTTTTTTTTTTTTTTTTAGTATATTGGAACATGTGACAAGACAAATGAAAATATATTTGAGATGTACTATTGCTACTCTATAGAAAAACTTTTTTGGTAATTTATGTTTTTAAAAGAAATGAAGTTTTTTTTTTTTTTCATGTCGAGACTACCAACTGATCCCATTTTGCTGCCTCTTCTACACACTGACATAGTTGGTAGTTATTGTTTCATTCAGCTTCTTTTTTTTTTTTTTTTTTTGGTGGGGTGGGGTGTTTATGTCATTCTGCTGACCTTTGGTATCTCATCAAAGGTGTTACACAAAGATATATGACAGTACTCTCAGTAGAGACAAGAGTCCTACCTGTCCCCTGCTCTGGCTAATAAACATGTTGCTTATAGATTCTTTCTGAGAAGTAGGAGCTTGCACTGAAGCACTGAGATGAGATTATAAGCTACTTTCTATGATGGGAAATTCTTTTTGTGTGGTAGTGTAGTAGATACTGTAATAGGTTGTGCTTTGGCCATGCTGACGAGATTAATACAAATTAATAGCAAGCACTTGCAACTGATTTTTATTGGGTACTTTTTTCTTGCAGCTTTTCATATCCTTGTTTAATCAAATCAGGTGTTTTTTACATTGAATAAAGAAATTTTAGGATGACATTAGTGGTATCATTCAGATAACTTACTCTGTGATTCATAGAGGATTCTCTAATTACTGTTAGCGGTGTTCTAACAGATGCTGCTACCTTCTTCCAGGTCCCTGCGAAACCTGCTTGATGGAGAGATGGAGCATTCTGCAGCACTGAGGCAGGAAATGGACAACTGGAGAAGGAAAGTAGCAGAACAGGAAGAGCGGCATGCCACAAAAGTCCAAGCCTTGGCAAGGTGAGGAGCACTAAAATACTCATAATAGCAGCAATTAAAAAGTAATTTTCCAAAAGAAATTAGACTAATAATAAGAAATATAAGCCATGAAAATAGTGGCAGTTAAGTAATGAGACTAATACAAAGGAACACGTCAGGTAAATGTAAGTAGACTTCTTTCTTTATGTACCTTTTTTTTTGTCCAGTTCTAACCCCACACTTTTTTTTTTTCCCTCTTCTACTTAAAAGTTTGGAAATTCCTGGTAGAGCTATCATAATAATCATGGTTCTAGGATTTTTCCCTCGTACGTGATATATTCTATTCTTAATGTTGTTGAAGTGCCTAACATGATCTGGAATTAGTACTCCCCAAACCTTAGTTTTACGACAGAACTTAAATATAATAGGGGGAAAATTGTTTAATTAAAGTCTGTTCTAAATTTTAAACCTTTCAGATATTTCCTTTAAAAAATGATAGCACCAGATTTTGACAAAATGTATACTAGGAAAAAATCACCAAACAGCTTGCCTTTCAGTGAATATGAAAGAATATTTAGGTGTGTGTGTGTGTGTGTGTACACACACATACTTTTTTTCATCAAATCACGTATGTAGTTAAGGTTATGAACCCCCAAATCCCACAAATATTTCATCTTGCTCTGTCAACAAGATGACAATCCTATCATAGGATTTCTCATAGATTTGATATCAGGTATATGTGCTTACATGAACATTAGTTTTCCAATTTTATTCTTTTTTTTGTTGTTTTTTTACCAGTAATATTTCTAATGTATGTTGTAATGAATGAGTTGGAACAAGAATGAACAACTGTTACGTGTCTTTAAGCTTTGACAAGGTCTGGAATGCTTTTCCAACTTGTATAACTTTTTTTCTGGCAATGCTGTTAAGGGATCTTGGAAGCCAACAGGCAAAAAAGTATCACGAGTATTTAATTGTTAAGCAAGAAATATGTAAAGACTGCTTAGAATTTTTATATTCCAAATAGTTTCTACACTTGTTTTTGTATCATTTCAGAAATGCTGAAGTCTTTGGGGGGATGGGGAGGAGAGGACAACTACTTTGTAAAGACATTTATTATTTAGTCCATTCCATCGTTTTTCAGCATTAACAAAATAAAAAAGCAACAAACAGTCCTCTTTTTTAAAAAACAATGTCTTTTTTCATTAATTTTTGTCCTATTAGCAAACTGACAGAAAGTCGGGTTAATCTGTCTTGTTCCTTTCATAATTTACTGTTTCTCTTAATTCTGAATTTTTACTTAATTTTTATTTTTATTTTTATTTTTTTAAATTACTTAATTTTTAAATCAGGTGTGAAAATGTCTTTATGTTTTATCTCTGTGATGATTTATGGCAAAAAGCATGACCTCAGTTTTCATCATTACAGTACAATATGTTATTTAACATTCTTCATATGAAATCTCATAATCAGGCCATATTTAATGTCAATAGATCAGCTGTTGGACACCATATAGCCAGAAATACATAGATGGAAATGATGTGAACAGCGTGGCTCACTTGAGATAAATATGTTTTTCCATTCAAAAATCCCTTTATATCTTTTTAAACAAGAAGACTGTATGAAGTATTTCACAGCAAAAGTTTTAAGTAGATGTTATGCCCATACCAGTGGGCCATGACTGAAATATTTTTCCTAAAGCACAGAACAGTCGTCTTCAAACTATGTCCTTAGGGATATATTATCTTGTATTGCTTTCTTGAGCTAACTAACTCTGTGGTACAGACTCTATGGATGTGTGAATATGTTGTTAGTTTGGTACTGATCTTGGGAGAAAGTTCAGACATTGCATATTAAATCTGTCGTGGATGTGCTAGTGGGTCCTTGAGGTTGAAGTTGAGTTTCAACCATCTGGCTTTTTCTCATGGTTGTAGAATGAGTAATCAGTGAGTTCTCATTCATTTTCTGGTCCTCTTGTCAGGTTTTCATGGCTGACTACTTTATCAACTGCTGTATCGTAAACAACAGTTGTTGCCAAACATTGTGAATAGTATAAGATTCTGAAGTGGTGACTTTTTTTTTTTAAGTAATTGTTTGTTTAAAATTAAGTACTGGAGCACTTTAATAGCATACAAAGTGTTGTCCTGTCCTCTCTTCGTGGTCATCTAACTGCTCTTGACCGTAAAATAATGGATATTTCATTTTAAGTGTTTAAAAATTAATTGAATTTTTATCTAAGATGAGTAATTTAACTGTTAATCACACAGAGAGAGGCTTATGATTGTCTTAAAAATTAGAATAGTAGTGATGCTTTCTGTGGTCCTGTCATGCAGTTCTATTTTTATTACTACATCTCATATTTATATGTAAAAAAAAACAAAACAAAACAATTGTTTTTGGCTTTTAGCTACGTCTTACATTGGTGATTGTCTTTGCCAAGTCTTATTCTGCAATCCATTAACTTTGTAGTAAGTCCTTTTTGTTAAATTCAATGTAATTATTTTAACTTTTTTATTAAAGTGTATTTCTATATAAGTGATTTTTTCAACTTTTTTTGCCACTTAATATCTGCTTTCAGAGATATTTTTCAAATTTCTTCAGATGTAAATTATACATATGTATTGCTTTTATAAATCAGTTATTTGCCTTTTCAGAATTACTGTTTAAACAAAACAAAAACTGACTTCTTATTGTCCTAAGTTTATGTTGATTGCTTACTGTAATCTAAAACATACTAATTGTCTTTAGGGTTTGTTTTGTATGAGTTTATGAAGCGCTCTTATGAGTAAATTTTGACATTTTGCAGCCTTAATTGGCCTTGAAATTAAATCATCTCTTGGTGGAAGACAGGGCGAAGTGAGGACATAATAAAGCATATATTGACTGAAGCCTGCAGCTCATTGTATGATCTTTAGACCATTACATGTCTTCAGCCAAATCAAGGGTGTTTTAGTCCCTGAAAGATAAATAAAGGCAGAATAAATAAAGGATGTTGCTATCAGTATTTGTACTCATGTCAGAGAAGACAGAATGGTTTAAAGCTGTGAAGCAGAAACTGAACAGTGCACATGTGCACTGGGAAATGAGCATGAGACCTCTTTTTTGCCTACACCTAAGAGATTCCTTGTACTGCAATGTCAACCTTCAGAAAATAAGTGACTTCTTGAGTATGTGTCCCCCTTCCCTTCTCTCGCTGTGTCATCAGGAACACTGATGTGTTAGAAAACACGTTTGCCAAGTGTCCAAGTCTAATGCAGCTTACTTCTTTGCCAAGACAGATGAGCTGAGGCAGAAGCAGAGTTTTGAGTCATACCCTACCTAAATTGTTTGTGTGACACTGCCACTAACTTTAGATTTTTAATCTTAATTGTTAATTTTTCTAAGTATTTCTTAGGACTAGATGTATTTCCAAGTATTTTCTTGGACTTTCTCCCCATCTGGTGTATTGGCCACTCCTCCAGTTTTGTATGGTCTGTGAACTTACCAAGGGTGCACTTTCTCTGTATCCAGGTCATTAATAAAAATGCTAATAGAGCATTGGCACTAGTATTGAACCCTGGGACACACCAGTAGTGGCTTACCTAAAGATTGCTTTTGTGCTACTGTTGTGCACAGCAATGAATTTTAAACGGTCTTTTAAGCTAAATCACTTAAATTTAGGTAAGTAAGGCTTTTGAAGGTGAATGCAGCTGTAATGGTGTGTTTGTCTTCTTACAACTCTAAATAAGCTCTGGAGTAACCTATGATGCCTGAAATCTTGGGGATGATTCACATGTATAGTAAACAACAAGCCTATTCCGAATGTTAAATAAGGTTAGTAATCTGTGCCTTGTTACAGAGAGGAGTATTTGTTTTCTGCATATGCAGGCGCAGTGTTTCCTGTCAGTTGTGGTGAAGTACCATGACTGAGGTTCCTATAAGCTTTTTATTGCGTAGCAGATCTAGAGATCTATGATAAACATAAAGGTAATATAAATATATTTAGAATGCTTCTAATTCTGCTTTTGATGACACATCAGACCTAAATATGCAGTTTGAGGGAGGGAGAGATATACACAAGTGGGTTTGACATTCATATGATGTAGGGCAATGGAGACAATACAAGTACATCATCATTTAATATTCACGTTTCAGGTTATAGGATTTGTATATTCATATTTCTTTGACTCACTTCCCCCACAGTTTTAGAATTTGCATTGACATGTAGGTGAATCAGGTATTTGTCATGCATGTACCCTTTTAAAGAACAGATAAGGAGCTTTTATAGAAGGATCTAAAGAGATGCTCACTTAGACTAAAATGTTATTTTAAAACAATTTTATGTAATTTCTCTAATTATGATGGAGGTTGGGTGTGTTGTAGTGATTGTTCTTCTGAAAGTCATTTTGTCTTATCCCATGATATAAACAATGTTGGGAGCTGCTTAGATGCAACAAACTTTAATATCACCATTATTTTGGACTTCAAATGCATTTATTTAATGATTCATTGCAACTCATTTTCTAGCAAGTAAGAAACTTTGTATAGAGTTATTTTTGAATGTAGATTTTTCCTTTAAGTTGCTTTTGTTGGTTCACTTTCTATGATGTGGGTGCTGCTGCTGCAATATTAGGATTAGTAAAACATTTTTAGTAGCATTTTAAGCTCAGAATTTGGACAATCTGAATAATTCTGATATTAAAGAAGTTGAAATAACAAAAATTGTGGACGTGATTTCTATGTGCCACATAATACATTAAGTGAATAAGAGGAAACAAGTTTTCAGATAATTTGTAGTAATGAAACCTTCACTATTTACCGCAGAAGCAGTTAATCACATGACAAGAGTAGAAAACTTCCCTGAATTATAAAATTATGAACATATTAGGTCAGGAAAGTAATTTAATAACCTGACTATTGTAGTTTGATGAGCAAATATACTTATTTTATGAGCTAATATTTGTGTGTCCCCAGAACTCTTGCTAAGAATTTGATGTAAACACCTTCTTGAATACTTTGAGAACACTAATTTCAGCCTTTCTGGTGACAAAAAAGAAAAGAAAGAGAATAATCTTGAGTTGTTTGCTTAGTGAGGACCAGTAATTCTAATTAATGACTGAGGATCAGTCATTCTAGTTAAAAATTTTGGAATAGTGGTTTTCTCACCCCCTTTTTTTCAATATACAATGTGCTCCTTTTGTGAAATGAAAAGAATGAAACAATTATTTGAGATGTAGTGGAATTATATTTATTAGTAAATAAAGTGATAGTTTAGGATAGATGCTTACAATTTATTCTGATGCTGTTTACTTTCTGTGAAGATGATTTCTTTTGCAAGTAGAAAAAGAAACAGGAATATCTATTGAATATATATATATATATATATGCACACCTGGTACATCCCTAATATGCTTGTTTATTGACAATACACTCAAAAGTAACTGTAACTCACTCTTTGTTTTTACCCATTGTCGTGTAGCAGAATTAAGAATTAACTGCAGAATTAAGACTCAAGTGAAGAAGTCACTAGAACATACTTTAGGCAAATAAGTATTCTTGTTCCTGTCAGTCATATTTCACGGAAGAAGGCCACACGTACATTTCAACGCAATGATAGTGTCTTGCAATGCAAAAACTCTTTGATTCTTCATCCTGTTTTACAGAGCTTTTGGATTTATTTTTTTTTTTAATTTTAGATCTGGTGTTAGGTATCTGTGGTAAGATGCAGTGCAGTTCGGTAATGTCTCAGTTGAGAATTAATCCAATAACCTCAGCTTTACATGGATAATCATATTAGTTTTAGTAAGACTGTGTGTGTGTTTGCAGGATCTGGGCCACTGGAAAAATATTGCTCTGATTGAGACATCATCAGTCAGTGCTGAAATGATTATGTCTGGACATCTGCAAATTTGACTTATTCAGCTGGTCTTCTGTACGAAATACTAGCTTAGTTAGGAAACTCAGAAATATTTCTCTAAGTTTTTTTTTAAAAATGGAGAACTTCTTAGGTCATTTAACTTTCAAGTAGCAGTAATCTTTTTTTTTTCCATGTGAAGTATTTCAATAGTTCTTTCATAATAGTTATCTGATTGTTTTAAAGGAAGTAGTTTCAGTGTTTAACCTATTTCCTAGCCTTTTGATAGAATGGAATAAATAAACTCTGGTATTATTTTATAAGCTGTCTTTTTTTTTTTTTCCCCCTTGTCAATGATCCTTTCTCAAATTGCAGGGACATTTTGTGCCAGTGGCTCCATGGCAATGTTACTGTTTTTCAATTGAGATTTTTTTTGTATGGTGTACTATTACATCACTTTGTGAGGCAGAGAGGTTTATTGAAGTTGAGCGTGAAATTGGCTAATCTCAGATTGCATATTCTTAGACTGTGTTCAGGGATGCTAGAGGAAAGCATCCCTTACAAAGGATGGGGTTTGTAGCAAGAAGAGCAGATTAAATGTGCATTACAATGTACTGTGTAGGGAAATGGGGGAGGGGAAACAAACTGCTTTTTTATTGCAGCGTTTGGACTTTTATGTACCTTCTGTTTACTGTACCTTCTGTAACCTAATCTGCCTCCTCATATCTAGTGTCTGTATTATTTAAGCCACATTGGTTTTGATTTGGCATTTTGATTAATATATAATCTGTTTTCTAGCAATTCCTTCAGACTTAGCTGCATAGCACTTCAGTGATAGGTACAGTGATACGTTGTGCATCTTGAAATGATTGCGCTGCTTACCTTAAGCAACTTCTTAGACAGAGGGGAAAAGTATCTCTTGTCCCTGCTTGTGAAAACGAATCTGAATATTCCTTTATTAACTAACTTTTTTCCACTTAGTTGGTGAAATGCCACAATTTAGGAAAACAATTATAAAAAATGGGATGTTAATTTGTAAGAAAGGTGAGGAAGTTGTTTATCTTAACCGCAAAGCCACTTCTTACTTCTTCAGATTTGGTATCAGTGCTGAGAGAGAGAGACTAACATAACTTAAATTTGAAAATTGAAAAGATTTTCAAAGGTTGGTTTTATACTATAGTCTCATGTATTATATTTAATTCAACTTTTGCTGCCATGAGTAATATTTCTTATGTTTCATATTTCATTTAGGGCTTATATACAACACCCTCTTTTGCTTTGTTTTAAATATAATTACAATTAACTAGTTTTGAACTTCCTAATAGTGTGATCATAGGATAATTCAGGTAGGAAGGCATCTCTGGAGGTCATCTAGCCCCAGCTCTCTATATGAACTGTACATATTCTTTCAGTAAGGTCTTTATTTCATGTTGTTATTGATATTCGTGTCTTTTTTTTTAATTATTATTATTTGGAGATTTGGTACCTTTATAGTATTTTCTAAAGAACTTTTTTTAACAAGACAAAGCCATCTTGATTTTTTTTTAACCTGAATTTAGAAATAAGACATGTTTTAGGAGTAAGTTCCACAGAAAGCATTTGTCAGTATCTGATACTTCTTCCAGAAGCTTAATTACAGTATTCAGGCCTCTGTAGTTGAGACACATGAGAAATTGCTTTTCTTTTTTTTTTTTTTTTTTTTTTCCTGAGGTATGGGAAAACATAGTTTTATCATAAATACAGAAGAGGGTATATATATGTACTTCATCTGTTTATCATGAAATTGAACCATAGGCACAATAGTGGAAGAATTCCTATTTTTTTTCTGTGTTATTGCAGTATGGACAGGTGCTGAATCTCTTCTCAAATGCAGAAACAAGATGGTTTATGATTCTGTCATGAGCGTCCTTAAACCTCAGTAGATTGTAATTGAGTATAGTTATTTACATGCAGACATGAACAATTCTGTGGTGATAAAATTTTTTTGTTCCAGGTGTCATTTATGTTTTTTTTTCCTGAATGAGTTACTTAGATCTGTTTTTTATTTGTCATATAGTTATACTGTATTTATTTATTTATTTACATGCACGCTGATCTGAACATCACCTGCCATCTCTTGTGCAAAATCTGACTTGTTCTTTGTAGCATAGAAAATGAAAATATATTAAAATGCATAAAACCTTCAAAAGCTTCGTTTAAAATTTGATTGTTGGGTAATGAATAGTTTCTTCCCAATGACTTAGCAACCTCCTACCTAAATGATTGAATAAAGCTGAGATTACATTGAAAACTGATTTGAGATCCATAGGAATAAAAATATAGCATCAATTTGGATAAATATATATATATTAGGAGGTTTGTGTATATGTGGATGTATTTGTGGATATGTGGGTATGGGTGCATGTGTAAAACATGTTGATTAAAAAAAAGTCTTCTAAAATAGACCTATGTAAAACCCTCCATTACACATGCAGTAGCTGTTTAAATTACTGCTGGTAAAGACTGGTATCTCCTGAACTAAAATAAGTTTTTCCTTTTTTTTTTTTTTTTTTTTTTTTATAATTTCATTAGATGATATTAAGAATTTTTTTTTGAAGCTGTACTTTAAAAACCAACCAACCAAAGGAGAAGCAAAACAACAACAAAACAAAACAAACAAAAAAAAAGCCACCCTTTCTTACTCCTCTCCTGATCTTGTTCTAATAAATCACTGACTTCTAACTACTATGATGCATTGGAGTGACTGCACTTCCATTCAGGAATTTGGAATAACTCAACTTCTTTTGAGGCCAAATAACTGGAGGAAAAAAAAAAAATGTCTTGAATGTAGTACGTGGAGTTTGAATACTTTGCTACTGTTGATGACCAATTTTGCTTACATTTCGTTCACACTTTCCACTGAAGCGGGACTGAAGGTTTCAGTTGAAATATTTTGTTCGTGTATTAGTCAACTCCAAAAGCATAAGAAACACTTTGTATCTGTGTAAATTTGTGCATTTTCACTGGCCATATGCAATATGGTTGAAATTTTGACACAAACTCCTCCTCAAACAATTACTAAAAGCAATTATGTTGCGAAGCACGGACGAAAGCACGACAGACACCAGCAGAGTCAGATCATGCTTCACCATTTTATTGCCCAAATAGCCCAACTTTTATAGTGAATTTTACAGGGGTGGACAGTGTTTCACACAAGATTATTGGTCAAAAGCACCAGACAAACCGTTAAGAAAATAACACCACCTTTTGATTAGAAGTTAGGAAAACAACCCCCTTTGTGCTTAACGGTCGCGTAGACCTAGTCCTTGAGGCCAGCTGCTGATAACAATATTTTCTGAGTTCCTTAATTGGGTGATGTGGGAGTCATTGCTGTGGGAGCTTCTCACAGTTACTCTGGCAGCTTGGTTTGCTCAGCTACAGCAGGCCCTGAGATTTCTAAGGCCTACCCCTGGTTGCTTAAAGCAAGCTTAGATCGAACAATTATGCCAATTCCCAACACAATTATATATGTATTTATATAATGTATGATAAGGGCCATCAAACATTTGCAAGTGTTTCTGGAGACTTCTAATTCCTAAATAAATTCCCATGAATAAAATGCCTGTTTTGTTAAGTTAATCTGTTTACAGCTTTCTGTAATCTGTGTTATATATCTAGTCTGTCATCATTACTTATATGTGTACCTGGACGACTAATTTTCCTAGTACTTTGCAGTTGACATTACTTAATGTGTAAGTCAAGCTTTTTGTTAATCTTGATGACACAAGCTAGATAAAGCTTATTATCACAGACAGCATGATTATTTCCACTGAGAAGGTCTATTTTGAGAAAACAATAATATTTGCTTATTCTTTTTTCTTTTTTATTTTTTATAAACAGAGAAAATGAGGTGCTAAAAGTGCAACTTAAGAAGTATGTTGGAGCTGTCCAGATGCTCAGAAGAGAAGGTCAAACAGTGGAAGGTAAGGATTAAATGAAGGAAAAAAATCCATGCACAGGATTTGTTTTTCTTTTGTGGAGACAGTTTATTGGGGGCATAGTTGTATTAATCAAATGATGGAAGTGACTCCTAGACTTATATAAAAATCTACAAAGAAAAAATGGACAGTGAACAGCCATGCATCTTGTTTACAAGAATCTGCTTTTTATCCATCTTTTTATCACATTTTATCCAGTATGACACCCTGTTGAAGATCCAAGCTGAAAAGAAGTTAATTCTGTTTCTATGGACACTGTCATTGATGCATCTCTCACTGGGCTATTTGCTGTTGTGTGAACAGTTTTGTAATGCAGATTGATGTCAAATGAAAATAATCTTATATGATGGCACATGATCAAATTAGTGCTGAATCAGGATGTTCTTGCTTTGCTTGCTCAATCTTCATCACAGCAAATAAAATAATTTACATGCGAGTGGGATTAGCAAGGTATAATTTTATCTCTTTGAACCCTGGTAAAATAATATCCCCGACAGTAAAAATAACATATTTGATATATTTTGAGGAAAACGTCAATGTAGATTTTTCTAGTTACATTGACAGGGCACTTTCTGATAGATGAGAGTCTTATGAAGGAGGTCGTTTTCTTTTTAGTAAGTAATGCTCCAGAAAAAGCTATCAGACAAAATTATTTTAAAAAATAATCTGTGAATTAATGTGTTATTGAAAAGTAAGAATTTAGTAACTCTAGATTATAGTGTTAGTGGTATCTATTTTGGAGATAAGCATTTGTAGACTGTTTGAAATAGACTTTGTATTAAGAACAACCACTTTGCTTTCTGTGCTAAGCCTCTTTGACTATAATTAGCAAATGTTTGATCTGAAAGATAAGTCATCAGCAGTGTGACCTGTATTTGTTTAGTGGGGATAGAAGTTTCTATGACAGTATCTTTTTGGACTAGTGATTTTGAATTATCTTCTGGCGGGACTGTATTACTACTGACTACAGAAGATTCTTCGAGAGAGTAGGTAGCTCTCAAGAAATTGGTATAGTCTTTTTTTCTTTTTAGATTGTCAATGTTGTGGTCATACAGGTGGTTGTATGAATGAATACTAGATTAATTCTGTCCTTAAGGGCTAGTCACTATATTTACCTTGAATTTAAAAAGTTTAAAAAGTTCATTCATCTTTAAAGGGTTGTTGTTTGTAAGAACATGTTTTTACTTCTGACATTGCTGGAGCATAGTGATTCATCTTAAGAGTTATTCACAAAAAACATCTCTTAAGCTTCTTATAATAGCAGAAATTATCCTTCATTAGATACTGACAGTTTCCATGATGAGCCTAATTATAGGAAAAGGAAAAAAAAAATCCTAGGCTAGCTATATTCTGCCATGATAAAATTATGCAAATTAGTGAGTGATAAGAATAGAAACCAAGTAGGATAGTCAGATTTGCTGGATGAAATAGGGGGGTGGAACATTACCAACATTCTTAAAACTGAATATGTGTATGCTTCACACTTAAAGGATATTTAGTCAATCCACACTATTTGGCTATAGTATTTAGCATTAGTGACCAGAATAAATTTCAGCTATGTGAACTATTTTAATATTTGTAATAATTTATCTTAACATTTTTTTTTTTTTAACAAAAACAAATAATTTTTGCTCCCTTATGTCATTGGTGATTTATGTGTTTTATTCAGTGATCACAGGACTTCTGTATCAGCCCTGTGTCTTTAGAAATTGTTTATATTGTAAAGAACTTGCACGTAGGGTTAGCAAATGGGGTCCAGGCTTGAAAACATCTTCTGGGACAGGTAAAACTTATGGTGTAATTTCTGGCAATCATAGTGTAAAGACTTCCAGAATTTTTCATTGTTTAGTAGGAAACAAATTGTGGTAGAGTGCTTTAAAGGATTCCAGTGTCCCTATGTTCAAACATGGCAGCAGAAAACAGTATTTTTTTTTTTTTTAAATATGGAAGCAGTTTTGCAGCATAAAGTTAAGAGTTCTGGCCAGTCGGTAAAATGGTATCTCTGAAGCTTAATGAACTAAGCGTGATATAATTATATACATAATTATGATATAATGTCAAGTGACCATAACACTTGTCTAACTAATTAGGAACTAATTTTGTTCCTAATTAGCTTACATGTTTAAAGGATTAGAGTGTATATTTGCAAGATCTGTTTTATTACTGTGATCTGAGATTGTGACAATCTTGTGACAATAGGATGAAGAAACTACTGTTCTTTCTGCTTATCATTTTTAATTGAAATTCTCATTTCTTTCTTGCATATTAATTTACATACTCGTAGATCAAGGTTCTGGACAATTAGACTTACTTGTAGACAGAGAAGCAGAGTTTTGTTGTATTTATACTTGGAAAACACCTGGCCATCATCTTGTGCTGGAATGGTAGGAAATTGTCCTCATCAGAGATGATTAAACTGTTGCATAGAACTAATTTCAATACTGCCCTATGTTATCGTAATAGGTAATTTAAATGATGATTAATCTTCTTACAAATAGTATCATAACAAAAGCCTTCTTACATGTATTACAGATTTTAGAACGCTATACGTTCAGAATTTCTGTGAAACTATTTTTAAAGGTTCAAAATAATTGAGCTTCTGCTGTTAATTTATGACTATAAATAGAAACTTTCAACATGGTTGCTACAATAAATCAGATCAGATGCTATTGAGTATGGCTTTTAAATGGATTCCTAAAACTATAAATGAAATTCAGCATAATAGTTTGCCTCAAGGTGGGTGACTTGCTGAGTGTTTGGTTTCTAAAGTGTGATTGAAATAAGTTACCCAAGCTTCAGAAGTGTGTCAAGTTCATAATGCCACACCAGCTTTCAAAGTGAGTGCTAAGTAGTATTGACTGAGCAGTCTGATATTTGTATTTAAACATTTAATGAATGAACATCCTTGTTTCTCAGCTGTCAGCAGGAGTAGGATGTCTACCATTTTTCAAACCTGCTGAGGTGTAATAATTCTAGACCCTTTGTACTCAACGATTTTTTTTCTCCGTTGTCCAAACAGATTCCTGAAGCTAATTGAGTAACCTTCTTTAAGAAAGTTTCACAAAATGTGTGGGGTGGGGAATGCTGAAATGCTTTAATTATATTTGTACCACCTTTTTTTTTTTTTTTTAATCCGAAGGTTCTATTTTTTGGCTATAACTCAGTTTCATTACATAGCTGTGCTTTTGATGATGTCTTCAAATCTATAAACTGTCTGATGGCAGCCACTACAATAGGAAAAACTTCTCACTTTAATATTAGGCAAATGTTAAAGATAACTGCATATTTTTTCATTATTAAAACAATACGTACATGAAGATTAAAAAAAAAAAAAGTTAACAGAAGGATGTTAAGGAAATTTTAAAGAATTTAATTTAAGATGCATCTGGGGAATGTTAATTTTACCTTCTTTATGAAAGCATTATTCAATGCATTATGTATTCCTTCAGTAAAAGCTATACAAAAATCGTTTTGAAAATCAAAGGTGATTTCTGAGAATAGAACACTTGCAACCTGTAGGGAGAACCTTCTAGTATGTATTAGAACTCTTGGAAGCTTATGAAATGAATTAAAAGTAATTAAAATGCTGTGAATATTTTGTCCTTCTTATGGAAGAACAAGGAACCTTGCTTATCTTGATGGAAATTAAAGCTGTTTGGCCTGTAAGGTCCTCCTACCTTGCTGTGCAGGTAGCATTGCCTAGAACTGCTTGTGTGGGACTGTTCATTGCTGGTTTACTGTTGGGCAGAAGAATCTGCCACATAGAAGTGATGGGTAGGAATGATAAGTGCATAGTCCTATTTTTCTGTGTTCCTGATTAATTTAAATGGAATATTGTCTTTGAACATATCATTTGAGCTATTTAATTGGTATTTCAAAATACAAAGGGCAGGTTTTGGCATTGAGGAGCCCTCAATTTCAACTTTTCCATGTGAAATTCAGTGTAGTGCTTTTGTATGAAAAGCATACCTTGGCCATGTAAGTCAAGTCATTCTTTATTTTTCCTTTTTTTATGTTCAGTGTATGACTACTTTTTTTTTTTTTAATGCCATGAACAGAATAGCAAATTAAGATTTCACTGCACAAAGCTGAGTTTCTGCTACCATAAATAAATGATGGCTAGAAGAATGAGAATCTTTTGCTGCTGGTAGTCTGTTTTTGAAGTTTAAGATGAAGAAAAAACAGGAAGAGATAATTCTTTATCAAGTAATAAACTAATAGAACAAAATCATGTAAAATTTTAGGAACAAAGGAATTGCAAATTAAAAATTATAGTAATCATCTTAATTTCAAAAAGGCTGAGTAAATTGACTATTAATCTGAATTGGGAGCTACAGACAGCAACTTGCAATTAATATTGTGTTTGCAAGAAAACAAGGAATAACATGCTTTTGAAAGCATAAAGCGGAAGCACAAAGTCCAGTGAAAGAACAAAATTAATTTCAAGTTATGCCTTGCCATCTGGAATAATCCTTTCTTCATCTACCAAAAGCTGTTTCAGCTAGCAGAGTTGTATTTTAATGCAGGACCTTTTAATAAATGTAACAAATTGTTAAAAGCTAAATCAAGAAAGGATTCTTTTCGTCAACAGTGCTTAACCAAATTAATAATTTAAGGAGCATACCTAAGAACTTCTAGAAGCTGACCATTGTATATTAGAGTGGCAGGAGGAAAAATTAGTTTTATTTGGTAGCCTTTTTGTCAGTTTTTAATAATGTTTTCTACGTGTATTAATATATTTCTAAAAGTGAAGCCAATTTATAGTTAGTGAAGTCATATGTTTAATAAGGATTAATGCTCCTATATAGAGTATTTTTATTTTCTTTGTGTGAAGAGTCACAATTCTGTCTCACTCCTTGTTCAAAAATTAATGACTTCTCTTACTCAGAGCTCACTGTAGACATTCACTAGTAAACTTTATGAACTAATAAATGCATGTATTGATAGAACCATGATGTTTATCCTCTTGGCATAGCTTGGATGATGAGTAGCAAAGCTTTGTGCAGCTCCTGCTATAAGAGGAGTATCTGGCCACTTGGCATGGCTAGCAGGTAGCCATATTGTAGATTAGCTTTAAGGTCTCTTGACTTGAAATGTTAATTAATCTCCAGTCATCTAGTTTACTTGGATACTATATTTCTTTTAGCATGCAGGTGATTGGGGTCAGGGCAAGAGAAGTATTTTCATTTATAGAAATTCTTGTGGCTTATAGACCCCCTCCCCCACAGTATTTTTTTTCAGTGTTTTTGTATTGGTATACGAAATAACATAAAACAATATTTTTATTAATAAAGTAATAAATGTACATCCATATATATATATATGATAAAAAGAGAATTGTCTTAGAAATATCCAAAACACATAAGCTATTGCAAATAAGCTATTGTAAGAGAATAGCAATTGATATGATTTGGGGTGTTTTATTTCTAAGGTTGATATATATATATATATATATATATATATATATATATTTATTTTTTACAGAATGTTCCATGTAGAAGCAGTATGCTCATGCATGCATTGTACAAAGCATGCAAAGAAAGTGAGTTGTGGGGTTTCCTAGCATTCAGTGCCATGTTTAGAGCAGCTGTTGTTATTACATTCCAGTTGTTCGGAAATCCTAGACAGATGGCCCAAGTAGAAGTCTCTACAGAATTTCCAAAAGTTTAACGAGGACATGTCTGGGAATAACCTCTCTCCATGACAACCCTGCTTGCTTCATTCACTACAGGTTGTCTAAAGGAGGCAAACACTGAACTTGCATAAAAATAATTAATATTTTGAGTTGAGATACATTCATCCAAACAATCATTTGCTAGAGTATAGGAACTGCCAGTATCAAAGCTAACTGTCCATTGAAGGAGGATTTTTTTCTGGTTACATTAAAAACAAAAACTGGCCAACCCTTTTGCGTAAGATTTCCTCTGACCTGTGTGCATCTCTGTAGCACTTCTCTAGTTCTGTAGAATGCAGGCATTCCAAGCTTAAAAGCTTGCTATAAGGAGTTTTATTCAGCTTACTCATTTCATAATACATCCGATACTTCGGATTTAAGTCTTTGAATAAATACGAAATTACACTGCTCATTGTATATCCTGTGTAGCACATAATTTACTGGATTAGTTTGGTATGAATTTATTTTTTTCTCCTTGATGTTCCATAAAAGCCTTGCTTTGTTTCCATTAGTTACATTTTCATATGGCAGTTTGAGGTGTTATAATCTGACTTAATTACTCCTTGTTAATTAATTACATTACATTGTTTTCTATAGTTTCTACATTTAGGGTTTAAAAAGGAGAACTGTCAGTACATTATTTCATAACAGACTACTGTTTCAATGAACCATCTTAAAGTCTGCTCAGTTAACATTACTGCAATTAAAGCTTAAAAAGTTTTATGTGCTTTTTTCATTCCATGATTTGAGCAGTATTCACCTAAGAATAAATCACAACACAAAGTTTTGATTTACTGGGAAAAAGAGATGTATTAAATTTATGACTATTTTATTTTTATATTGTTAATGGCTTATACCTATGAAGTTTAAAAAATATATATGATCTGAAAATTAAAATAAACAGTAAAACCACTGCCATAAATTTTACGCAACATGGAAGGTTTAAAATTAGAGACTTAGAGTTTTTTGATTATCTCTTTCTATCAAAACATGAAAATAAAAGTGTGCATGGCAGTCCATGTATTAAGTCCATGTATTAAATAAGTGAAATCCAAAGAATAATCTTCTTAAATTTAACAAATTTATTTAACAAATTGGTCTATAGAGAAAGTATTCTGTAATAAGATAATTCTATGGGTTCTCTCTTTGTTGGTAGTTAAGGAATAAGGAAAGCATAGCATATGGTTAACGGTAATTTACAGCCTTCCTGTAATGTATGCCAGTCTTCTGTATAGGCACGTTATTGCAGTTTATATATGTTGGTTATAGGAAACCATGATAAATGAGAGTGCTGTGTTGTGAACTAATATGAAGGTTTTTTGGTAAAATTGATGTTAGTTTCTTACTGTATCTTGCCTTTTCTTCTTTTGTGTCTTTGTCAGTCGTCTTAGCTTTCTTGCTGACCTAGGTTTTTGGTTACTTTGAGTATAGTTAGGCCAAAAATAACTATGATAAATTATATGTCATTCCTGTAGTCTTTTATGGCATTTGCAAGAGAGATGTATAAATGTAAAGGGAATACTGACCATGTGCAGAGACATTTTTCATCACATTGCAAAAGCTGTATGCACAGTTGTTTAAACAAAAGTGCTATATGTAGTCAAACTTTATGCTGAAATAAAATGTTGATCTTGAAGGTCTTCAATCAGAAAATTCTAAAGAAGATTTACAAGAAAATTAGATATTACAATAGCTTTCAAAATTAATTTCAAATACTAATTAGCTTCTGAATTTATATATTCTTATTTGAATCAAAAGTCAGTTTGCAGGCATTTAATCAAATGAATTATGGAGTTTTCTCTCTACCTTAATATGATTGTATGTATAATCTAGATTTTGAAAAACAGTCAAAGCATTTATTAAACCTCTCTCACAAGGGCTTGCTTACTTTATATGTGCTATCATGTTTTCTTTTTCCAGAAATTCATGATCTATGAAGAGAAGTTGAATTGGAGTTTGTGTAAATTGGGGGAGACTTACTCAGAATAGGCCTTCAAGTGATCTTCAAATATGTAAATGGTAGCTGGGAACAGGAATAGGATAAAACAGTTTTCATTCAGTGTGGATAAGGAAATAATGGGCTTAAATGGCAGGTGAAGGAAGTTTGACTAGTTATCAAGAAAACCTTTCCGAGAAGAACACTTGCATTTAAATAGATTGTGCACAGAAGCATGAAATATTCTTTATTGAAGGTTTCTAAGAATAAATTAGACAATTAAGTGTCAGGAATAAAATAAATACAGATGATTCTGCTGTATGGGAAAAAAAAAGGAAATATTAAGCATTTCACACTTCATCTAGTATCTATTCTTAGCCTTATTGTCTGTAATTTCTATGATGTGCGAGTAGTCCTGTGTAAGTAATATGAAATGAAAAATTTCATAAGTAAATTTCAAGTAAAATGAAATGAAAAAGAATGGAAATAAAAACAAAAGTAAAAATAGAAGCATAGGCTTAGTTTACAATGGCTTTGGGTATGAATTGGAGTCACTACATATTTAGCTGTGGTTACAAAACAGCCAAATACTTTCTTTGCATTTTTTTCCTGTTAAGATGAGAAAACGTGCCTAAACAGTGCTTGCAAGAATGCTCCCTGCAGTGCTTATTGTAGTACTTGTAATATTGTTTTATAGTATTTTATATGATGTGAAAGTATTTATTTTATAAAATTTTATATTATTCAAATAGTTTATCTTATTTTGATACTTCTGATAACTGTTTCTTTTAGAGCTATTACTTTTAAACTAATTGTCTTAAATGTTTATGTAATTTATCATTGTAATTTGATGTATCTTTTTATTTTAGTTCTGCCAAACATTTGGAGCACTGATGGTGAATTTACTATTCCAGACCAAAAGCAAGCAGAAAACAACGAGGAACTAGCCAGCTCTTATGAAAGAAAATTGATTGAGGTAAAGTCTGCACTGCACAAATTTTATGAGATCATAATGGTAAAATAAGACTTGAAGCTGTGTAAGCATTTTTTCCTTAGCTGTCTTCTTTCCCCATTAGTCTAAAATACAATTCTGATTTTTGTTCTAAGAATTAAAAATGAAAGGTTCCATCTTCTGACTTCTGTGGTTAAAATACAGCTTTGTTCATTTAACTTCAAAGCCCATTTAAAACAATTCAGGTGATTAAAAATACTTAGTAACAGTACACCTTCATACTTGATATTAAAATCGACTGTTATCAAAATATATTGTAGTTTACAGAAAAAATGGACCATACTTGTTTAAACAGTGGTTTCATTTATCAGTTTTGTTCTAGAATGTTTTACTGCATTAAGACATACAACTTTCATGAGGGTTTTAATAAATAAACAAGTTCATTAAAGTTATAATTGATGCTGGTGAAATAATAGGTGTCAGCTATTGCATAAGCTACAGTACGTAATTAACAAGCTTTGTTGTACTGTGAGTTGAGCTTTAAAGTTTCCTGAGGACATAAAGAAATCTGTCACTTTTTTCTTTTGCTTTTATACTTTTTTCTGATTGTGCTATTCTGTTTCATGTTTATGTTGTTTTATGTGTAGCTTGTGGAGTAATGCAGTATGGAAATGAATACTGGAAGTTACTAATTATTTTGATATGATCATGTTAGAAAAAGTTTCTAACACAGGATTCTCTGTGGTAAAGTAATATCAAATTCATTAGATTTAAAAAGAAAAGAAGAGAGAAAGATTAGGGGTTCATCCTAAATTTAAATAAAAATTATTTTTCAGACATAAGTAATGAAATTTAATATCTAATACCCATTTCTGTTATGAAATATTAAATGAACATTTTAATAAAAAGTAAAACAACTTTCTATGTTGTTCACTTGCCCAAAATACTCTGAAATTGGATACTTATATTAACTGATTAATATGAAGATGCCTGAAAATTCGAGTCACGCATCAAAGAGATTAATAAAGTTCTTCTAAAACATTTGTCCATGGCTATCCTTTTCTCATAGGACCATGTGAAACTGTATCTTTACATAATGCATATCTTTGAATGGGTTCTTGACTTCTTTGTTCTGTGCCTTTCAAAAGAATATCTGTAAGAGCAAAGGTAACATCTGTTGCAGCTTTAAGAGCACCCTCCTTTGTTCTACTAAGCTTTTCTGCATGTTGAAAGATTTATTGGTAACACTCGGGATTTTTCTGGAAGACAGTGGTAGCAGTAGCACTGATGACACAGCAATAGATATAATCACTGGGAAACCTTGATGCAGATCACACCCAGAAAAGGAACTCTCCATTTGAGTCTCACTTGCCAGTCTGTAACAATATGTTCACGTATTCAAAATAGGATACAGTCTCTGTTAAAATCCAAACGTACATGCCAAAAATCATTACTACTTTTTCTTTTCACAAGTGAAGGATGACAAGTTAGCCTGTACTGTGTTCCACTTTGAGGACCAGGATAGAAACCCCACTAAAAGGTTTCCTGGCAGTTCAATTCAGCTATAAGTGGGTCTGAAAAATGTTCAGACTTTAAGCAGTTTTAAGACTGTTAGTTTGTGCCTAGTAGACTATTTAAACTGAAGACAGAGGTCCCCTTGAACCTCTTGGTAGAAATTCTCTTGAGGAAATGATTAGCTGTGAAGAGGATTTAAACAATGGTTTGACTATTAATTAGCAAAATGATTTTGTTCATAATAACATATTTAGTTATTTAACTTAATATATTGTTTCAGTTTCTTACCATATTTTAAATACAGTTAAAAATTTTCAAAGTTATTTATTTAATAAAATATGATCAGAAATTCTGATATAACCAAGTAGATGTAACAAACAAACAAAACACTGCAGCTTGAAATTCTGAAAGAGTAAAGGAACTTGAATTTTGTTGGGTCTTATGCTTAAAACACCATTATAGAAATTTTTGTAAAAAAAAAAAAACAAAAACAATACAAACAACAACAAACAAAACAAACAAACAAACAAAAAAAAACCAAACAGCTTTCCATGTAAAATATGTTGTGTGGAATATTTCCTTTTAGACATAGTAGTGAACTATCTATATAGTTATCATAGTGTTTTCTAAACCCTGACTGAAAGCTTGTGGGATGTTGCTAGGTCTTTGGCTACCATTAGTATTATGCATACATGCATGCACTCATTTTCTGATGTCAAATGCTTTGGAACTGTAAGGTTATTTTGAACCAGAAGAAAAAGTATATTAGGTGGATTTATACAACTTTCAAACCATGAATAATAAAATGCATTTAAAATCATTACATTTTGGGCCTTCACCCTGCATTGTTTGCTGTATGTAAGTTATAAATACATTCCATTTGGTTTGTCCTGCTTTTGCAAGGTCTCTCCAAATAACATCAGTGGAATTTTTCCTGTTAACACACACGGGAGAGACAAATTCTTCAAAGCTTGCATTGCAGCGAAGTTCAAAATAAACAGTTTCTAAAGACTTGCTCTTATGTCAGACCTGATATTGCTAAGGATTTAAAATGAAGCAAAACAAACAAAAACCTAAAACAGTTGGTATGTCTGTCTGTACATCCTGACAAGCAGAACTGTGTTGAGATTGTTACCTGTAAGAGGCTGTTTCTAATGATTCTATTACTTCTCTTTGTCTTCTATGTCTGTAATCCAGTAATGAACTAATGAACAAACCTAAATAGGCTTTAACCTGCATTCCATCAATTTAAGTTGTAGAATATGCTCACAATGTGCTAAATAGTATTATGAGAGAGCTCCGTTAAAGACAATAAATGACATTGAATTATCTATTTCCTGGAATAGACAATTTCTGTCAGACTAGGGAATGAGGAGACTAGCTCCTCTGTTGGACTAAAAGGTTTCCAATATCCTAAAACTACGACAATATATTAAACCCTCATCTCTGTGAAAAAAATATTTGTTCTATAAGAATGTTGGAGGCTAAGCAAAATGTCCTTTTTTTTTTTTTTTTTTTTTTTCCTCCTCTATATAGTAAGCACAATCCTTTCCAGCTTTCCAGGGGTTTCCTTCTAGAAGCCAGTACAATAAACATTTCTGAATCAGAATTTTTCTACATAAATTACCTGGTAGTTTTTAAAGTCATGTTCACCAGAATTCTGCAGTTTGCCGTGTAACAAACTTGACAATATTATTTTGAACCTTTTCCTATAGCTTACGGGATTAATTTTTTATGTGTTAGATGTGTCATTCTGCCTGAAGAACTTGTCTCTGAACATTTGGTACATGAGGTTGGGAAACTTTTTCTGACGTGGAAGGTGTGTGTATGCTGTTCATGTGAGCTTGAGGTGCGAATCACTTAATTCAAATAAGTACACTCCGTAGAAGATTAGAGTTGAGAATTTATTTATATCAGAATATCAAATATTCTGGAATTCTGACAAAAAGATAAAATTTCTAAAAAAAAAAAAAATAAAAAAAAAAAAATGCAGCTTTTCTGAGTAGTTGAATCATTTCCAACACAGGATCTACAAAGGGTAATTTTGGATATTAAATCAAGGTTTGACCATTTAGCAGAGTTCTGGTCAGTTTTCTAGCGTTCTTTTCTTTTTTGTAGAACAAGTGATTTGGCCAGTTGCATCGTGAGGCCTCAAAAGCACGCTGCTGATTATTTTTGCTGAAATTGCCATCTTGATTGAGTTTTAACTTTAATCTCTTCAATTTCATTTCAAAATGCTCAGAAGACTTTAAGCTATCTTAAGGGTTTTTTCTTTTTGATTCAGCAGCTACACAAAAGGGTAAATTATGGATTTTTATCACAGTAGTTGGGTAGCTGAGTCTTTTAAACACTTTCAAATGTCTGACCTTTCATTCTTCTGTGTAATGGAGTACCGAAATAGGATAGTATCTTGTGAAAAGCACCTGTGTGACTTTCTTTAAGGCTCTTTGTGCTGCTCTCACTGTGAGTAAATGGAAGTTCAGAGGTACCCTTTCAGTCTATAAAATTCAGATTTTCATTTATTAAGAACTTTTCAATTGTATGCTGTTGTATAATCCATGTTTTTGAAGATTAGAGGATTTTCAGGCACGGGAATATGACTGTGTTCATGATGAAATGCAACAGTTTTTTGTTTGTCTGTTTTTGTTACACAGTCCTTTCTCATCTTGTAAGACATATGGTCAGGGAAGATACCTTAAATCACTAAGAACTTTGCCAGAAAGTGTCAACATCTTTGTAGAATCATCTCTCAATTTCACTTAGCAAATAACAATATATTGTTATGATTTTTTTTACTGTGTCCAGAATTGAAATCCTAAAGTGGGGAATTTTGATACGGCAGTTTTGCTAATGTCTGCACAATGTACCACTTTAATGCCATATGATTATGTGGAAAGGCTGTGACAGTGATATAGTAATATGTATCTACTAAAAAAAAAAAAGCAAACACCACAACTCTGACTACAAAGAACTGTTTCAGTCTTGCCAATTTTTCTTGTACTCTTCTGTGTAAAATAAATAAATAAATAAATTTGGTTTCATAGAATCACATCATCATAGAATATCCCGAGTTGGAAGGGACCCATAAGGATCATGAAGTCCAACTCCTGGCACCGCACAGGTCTACCCAAAAGTTTAGACCATGTGACCAAGTGCACACTCCAATCACTTTTAAAATTCAGACAGGCTTGGTAAAGTGACTACTTCACTGGGGAGCCTGTTCCAGTGTGCAACCACGCTCTTGGTGAAGATTTGTTCTTTTACTTCTTTTTTGCAAGCTACTGGTAAATCTAGAACCTTTTACTGTATTAATAGAACGTGCTCTTACTTGTTAATGATATTTTAAGAGAATAATAAAAAAAAATGAAAAGGAAATATTAAAAACTTAGTTTTAAAATTATATGAGCACCATTTTTTTTAGCTACAAAAAAAAAAAAAGATCTGGAAGGATCTGGACAAGCTGTTTGCCCACAAGAGTGCACAGCACACAAACGAAGTTCCTATATGTGCTAGTGCTAGAAGTGTATTAGCAAGAACAAATTTTTGTGCAACTGTAGAAATACAACGTGTAGTTCTCTGAACGATGTGTACAGCACTTCTCTCATTAGCAGCGTAATCCTGGTGTTCTTTTCTGAGGCAAAGAACGATGTGCCTATGAGTCGCTGTGCACTTTGTGATCCATTTGTTAATGTGCACGCTGACCACTTTTTAAATTTCTTTATAAACTTATTTTTCAGTCTCCCTGCTTATTCAGATAACAGTAAATAATTATGGTGTTAAGCTGTCTGTTCTGCGAGGAAAAAATAGTGTGGTATTTACAGTTAACCATGGTTATTTCGTATCTTAGCCCCTGTATTTTAGCAGTTACAGGTTACTGTTTTCAAGGCTGTTATTGAGCTTTTCAGGGAGAGGCAGTACCCTTTATTATACCTAATCACATACTTGGGAAAACATGGACAAAGTTCTTCAGGTTAAACACATGCTGTGGTTTATATGGCATCTTTAGTGGCAATTATCAATTACGCAGCCATCTATTGCTCAAATCCTCCTTCTATACATGTATCACAGCACCTACCCTGCAGTTGTAATGGCACAGTAGTTTCTAGGTCTGTGGTGCAAACTGGCTTAGCTTAAAACATGTTGTTGAGTTGCTTGCATTTGGATCACTTTTCTAACATGACAGTCCTGCACGTAGTGTAGATGGAAATGTATGACTGTGAAGAGCAGCAGCATTGTGCAATTTCTACCAGATTTCTTTGTTGTAAAGTCCTCGGACACAGCTGACATCAAGGTGCATCTGAAGTATGGCAGCAGCTGGTGAATTTTACCTAACTGTGGTAATCCATCATGATTTAAAGGAAAAAGGAAAATGTGTAGCTTAGGAGGAGAGTTGCTAGCAAGGGGATAAATGACAGCAATTTAATAACTGTGGAACATTGAAACCACAGATTGACATGAATTTAAGCATCCTTCTCCTAGGAGGAAATACTGGGGTCCAAAAATTGAGCCTGGGTGGGGGACAGAGAGGAATGGGACACACTGAAGTGTTTCTTTGAATGTTGACTTAAATGTTTGTGACTGAATTCTTCTTAAGGTTGGACCTGGAAGAAACTTTTTTTTTTAATTATTTTTTTATTTTGATCCAATGATGATGATACAATTCCTGCCAGGTTATTATGACTTTATATATTATTGTGTAGTGTGTGATTTCTAATTTGTGTGATGTAAATTTATTTTTCTCAAGTAATTTCTTTTAATCCTAGCAGAGTGGGACAAAGCAGTGGTAAAATTCAGTGCTACACACAAGTAGTATGGAAAACTGCTACAGTCTCAGAAGTGCTACCACACTATTGAACAGGGAATGCTTTTGAGTATGTGCATGTGTGCATTGACTACTATCTGCTAGCAGCTGTTTTAAATTTTACTATTTTTCATTTGTAGAAAAAGTTAATTATTCATATTCACTAAGATACATGCTGTTTTTTGAAGAACTTGGCTTTATTTCTCTTGGGGGGGGGGGAGCGGCAAGTGATAGTTCATTTTTGATAAAGGTCATTTTCTCATGGAAAATACAGACCCTGGCTTCTACTGGGAGGAAAGTGAAACCACTTCCCATTTCGTCTCGAGTTTCTTGGGAAATATGTTGTTTTGCAACCGTAATTGAATAAAAGTTTTTTTGTTGTTGTTTTTAGTGGTGGATGGGGAAAATTACCAATACTCAACAGAAATCCATTGATTCAAACGTGGTTCTTGCAGAATTTTTAATGAATTTACTTCAAGTTGCATTTAAAAAAAAGAATCTGAGTTCTATTAAAAGACCCTTAAAGAAGAAATTAATGTTGTTTTGGTGCAAGTTCTTAAAAGGCAATTTCTATACTCTAAGAGCTTGTGCTTCTAAGGGTGATTACATTATTCATATGCTTAGAGAAACATACCTAGAGTGTTTTAAGTTAACTGCTCACTCCTTTGCTGTGGAACATTAAAGTGCAATTTACCTCTGTAATTTCTCTGGAGACGGTTCTTAAATCTGGTCATGCTGGACTCTATAGATGCAGTGCTGTTGGAGAGTAGGAGCAGATTTAGATTTTCTTTTGACAACATGTCTTTGGAGTTCTGGTAGTGTGAAGTCTTCTAAATACTTTGTGCATTAAGCTCACTTCTTTGAGATAAGGATATGGGCTCTTTAAGCATGCTTTCTGGTATGACCAGGACCAAATCTGAATGATCCTGTGACCAAGGGAAACTTAGCCAGTTTATACTTTAATTTTCTGCATTAAACATTGTCACAGAGAGAAACAATTGTGAAGATGAATGAAGTCCCAGTAGGGAAAATTATTGATCAGACTTCAGTGTGGAATGAATAAAGGATGATGTGATGACATAATATGTAAGTGAAATGGTATAACCTTGTTATTACCTTAAATAATATAAATTGTGGTTTAAAAAGCCAGTTGTACAAGAATTTACTGGATTTGAAGGACTCTCTCTAATATAGAAATAAATTCCAGAAGAATACTTGATGATCTGGCGTAATTCTTAGTAAATTTTTATTACTTGATCAGTGATGTCATTGCTTGTCAACTTGAAGCTGTGTTTCACTGTTTCTTTACCATGTGAAGGACACAAATTGTCTGGAACAGGACTGAAGTATTTACTTTACTGAAGTAAAAAGCAAGCAGTAAATTAAAGAAATTGAATTAAACTGCTTTATCTTGGGGAAATTTCCTGGGCAAGAGGAAGAAGGCAGAATAGTAATTCAAGGAAAGGCAAGCCTGAAGCAGAGTGAACTGCCTCCAGAAGGAAAACGATGAACTTTTAAGAGATTTGGCACAAACCCAAGTCCCCATGCTATTGCTGAAGTAGCAGATTGAGGCTCATCTTATTCAGCTCTGTTCCTAATAATGTTACCCCATTGCCTCTATATTCTCCCAGCTTTGGATGGCTGTAAGATGTTTCAAGAGTTGCTGTAACCTGAAAAATAGAATGTTTAACTGTATTGTTACGGTAGTGTGCTATGTCCGCTACTGGGGTCAGCCAGTCACTGGTTATGTTTTCATCTAACCTCTCCTGTTATGTGTAGCTTTTCTTGTTCTGCTGTAGGACTGCTTTTCTGGCACTGCACCTACGATCATGGCCCACATCAGTATTCCCTTTCGTTGGAAAATATAGGGAGACTGCACATGGAAACTTCTAACAACAGGATTTTCTGAATGGAATCTTTCTTTTCCCCTCAAACTAGTTCTACAGACACCTTTGGGCTCAGATTTCATTGCTATAAGGCTACAGGCGCCATTATCAGTTCCAGACAACTCCTTTGCCCGTTGTATTAGGTATTGATGGGTCGTCTATCAGAACCGAAACTTTCATTCAGCTTCATAGTCTAGATTCTGGAAAAAGTAGCTCAAAACCTTGTTGAACACAGATGTCTTTCCTTTTTCCAGATAGTTTCCTCATCACCCTCTTTTTAAGATAACAGATTACTGCCACAATATAGATCTTTGCTATTCTGGATCCCTTGTCCTTTTGGAGTTCTGCACCCCATTGGTTTATGCTTGTGTGTAAGAAAAATTCAAGAACTTGGTATTGTCTTTAACCTTGATTTGAGCTTTATTGTTTTTTTTTTTTTTTTTTTTTTTTTTTTTTTTTTTTTTTTTTTCAGATCTCTTTGCAAGAAATCAACTTAAACATAGTTTGCTGTGCAAATTGTACTTTTCTTGCACATCATTCGTCCAGCCATGTTTGCTTTCATATACATACTACCTCAGTTGGTGCTTCTTTAACCATTTTCATAAAAAATGGAGAGCAGACACAGCAAGACTATGTATAAATTAGCCATGCTTGAGGCCACTGTGTTTTACTTATGCACAAGGATGTGCGTCACAGCAAAACTGTTTTATTTGTGCTCCTTTGACCCCTCACAGATTTGCCTGGGATGAGTGGACCTCTAACTCTGTGTAAGAGTACAGAATGTTACTCATGAATTATTGACAAAGTTGAATTTAGTTTGTGTATTTTACATTATTCCCAATTCAAAATATTCTGATTAATTTGTACCTGTCAAGTGCTTTGCTCATCAAAAATTAGACTGAGAACAAGTTAATAGGTGTTTCATTAGAATCAGTTACCATGGGATCTCCTCTGATTGGGTAAAATCAGATATAGATCTAAAGTTGTAATGTTTTTGTGTTGAATTTATAATAACAAAACCAATGTTTCAAGGCATGAGTGAAAATTGTTTTGTGTATGTTACTAATGTTCTGTTTAAAATGCTGTAGTAGCAGCACTATGTCCTACTTGGAGAATGCTGTGAAATAAATGTAAGTTGGTATGCATGTAAGAAATTATATAGTGTATTTTTTCAATTTAGAACAGTTATCTCTGGGCTATGTTTTTCAGGTGGCTGAAATGCATGGGGAACTGATTGAGTTTAATGAGAGGCTGCACCGTGCTCTGATGGCTAAAGAAGCTCTTGTGTCCCAGATGAGACAAGAACTAATTGATTTGAGAGGGCCGGTAAGTGTTTGTTTATTACATTGAGAAATACTGTTCTCAAAACCATTACTCGTGTTGAAATAAAATCTGCACTACCTTATAAGAAATAACAGCTAATAAACCATCTGTCAAGAATACCTTACTTGGTATTTTTGCTATTGTCTCATTCTCTTTAGCAGTATTTAATTTATATAGTAGTATTGAATGTATTCAGACAATAAAAATGTCTGCAGTGCTCAGATGCTTTTAAGTTTGTTTGTTTTTGCTGAGCTTTTTACTTTGGAAGGTTGAAATAATAAAAAATAATTGGTAGGTTTCTAAATGAGAAGTTACCCGTATCCATATATCTACAGAGGTCAGCATCACTGTTCTAGAAACACTTTATAATGTGCCTAGAGGCACTGAAATTTTCAGTGTTATTTTCAGTCAGTTTTAAAAGGGCCATGAAGACTTATTTCTGTTGTTCTAATTCTTCTGGTTATTATACCTGTCTTCTTTCTCTGCCTTTAGTTTTAGCCCTATTTTTGCAGCCTGAGCTAAATACCAAATAGCAGTTTGTGTTCATGAGCTGGTTATTTGAGAAAATTAAAAAAAAAAACAAAAAAAACAACACAACAACATAACAAAACAAAACAGCAATCTCCTCCCCTCATCCCCAAGTCCCTAGAAATAAAAGTTTTTGTTTTCTACCAGATACTGCTTCCCTTTGGCTTCTTGTGTTAAAAGATTTGGTTGAAACGTGGAGATGTGCAAAAGTAAAGGAAGTTCCTGATAGTTGTCTGTCTTAGCAGGAAAGCGTACTTTGATGGGTTTTGTTCATATGGTTGCACAGTATTGTACCTTAGTTTTTTGTTCATACTGGAGGCATTCATGCTTATTTTATCATAACATTTGTGTCATGTGGCTGATAAGAATTCCATGTGCATAAGTGAAGCAGGATTTCACCTGTAATTTTCAGCCTTTTAGGTGCAAACAATCTCATTATTGTGTCAAGAAATGACAAATGATAAATCACAAGTGTATTATGACTGTACTTTCTTACTTAGATTTCAGACTGTATGTCCCTGTTCAGAGATTTTGTTTTTACTTATGTATCCACATATCCTATTAATAGATACAAACTGTGTATAATAACTTTGTTCCTGTATAAATTCCTGCTTTATTTTACTTACGAATGTTGTGCAGTCCCTTCATCTTGAAATAGCAAAACTAGATAGTGTTCAGGAAAGAGCAACAGGGATAATCAAAAGCGGAGTGGTGTTCTGTATGTGGCTGGTTGGGCAGCCTTTCCTCAACTTGAAAAAGAATCTGCTTTGGGAAGAGTATGGTAGAGAACTGCAAAATGGTGTGTGAAAAATGGAGATCAGCTCTGTGTGACATCTCCCAGTTAAAAGCAGGTTCAAAACAAGCAGGAAGTCATTTTCCATGGCAGTCTTCTACAGCAGCAAAGCTGTGGAGCTCTTTACCAAATACTAGACAAATACTTAGAAAAATCCATTAGGGGTTACCAAATATGCTAAGCTATGTCTTGGTCAAGAAGTCCCCTGACCTGAAAATTGCTGGAGATGTAGAGAGTTTTGGGAAAAGTTTTGTATATGCTTGCTTGCATGAAGTAATCTTGAGAGGTGGGCATCCACTTGCTTGGAAAAACATTTGTAGTAAATAAATTATACTACCTAAACTGATCTGTAGGATCAGCTGGTGCCAAAGGCAGGAATCCCTTGGAATTTTTGCAGCCGTGGTACAAGCCACTACTCTCTTTTCCAATTAAGTATTTCTTTTAAAGAGTTATTAGGTGCAGTCAGCTTATAGTGTAGTGATATAAATATATCAGCAAGCATGTTTCAGTTAATTAGTCAGATATTGTTACAAATTTTATTGTATGAGATTAGAATCTAGCCTAATCATTGAAATACTGTTGTAGTAGGTACTGTTCTCCTGAAATATGTGTCTATTTATAAAACCCGAAACGTAAGTAGCTTTAACAAATCATCAGGTTTTATGATTTTGACAACTGTATTTAATTACTGCAGAAACAATACTGGATTAGTGAAATACTAGTCTTCATTAGTTGCTGCTATCCAAAATGGAACTGTGGGAACTGTGCATTGAATACAGGCTTTTGAAAAACTTTTTGCATTATCCGAAGAATTTAATATATTTAATTGCATATTATTAAGCATAACTGTGCTGGTAGTCTATCTGTTACTTAAACTTTAATTAGAACTTTAAAAGTTGATCAAGTATGCAACTGTCAGAAATTCAGTGGGATATGAATATTTGATCTCCCCTTGACTTGTTTGAAACGATCAGCCAAATTCTTAACATTTTATTATTAAAATAGTATATAATTTACAGATTCTCATAAAAATAGCTTCCATAATTCTTCACTGACTTCTTTCATTTTAATGCTAATAATCAATTTTAATGGCTGTAATTTATATATGAAATATCCACAATGATCTTTCCAAATTTTTAGTTATGATGTTTCAGAACTTCTGTAGCAGTTGAAAACATGGAGTGTAATATTAATGCAAAAAGTATGTTCTTGCAGGGAATGAGGAAATACATTAATGCAATATGTCTCCGTCACTGTACTTTGTGTTACAGTGAACAACACATCAATTACAATCTCAGCATAAGTAACAATCTGCTTCAAAGTAGATGTGCAAGCACTGGAACTTATTAATGTCATTCTTTCTTATTTCCAAAGTCCACACTCTGTGTTTGAGGTCTTCATGCAAAACTCTTACTGAAGTTAATGAAAAGTACTGCATATGTCTGGGGGTAGGACTTCCATTTCAGATATAGGCAAAGATAGGATACAGATTATAGGCAAGACAGAAAAATGTCTGCTCTGTATAAAAGCCCTGGAATGCCAACCAGTGTGCTGCTGCACAAGGGTGGGCTGGAGTGGGAGCATGTAACAGCTGATGCTAGGACTTGAGAGACGGGAATTACTGGCTCTTGCCAGCATAATGACTGCCCTGTTCCTCCAGAAGGAGGGCAGCAGACCTGTTTAGGACTTGTGCTTCCATACGTATGCTCTGGAGCTGTCTCAGCTCTGCACAGCTTTTCTTCTTTTCTTTTCTCCAGTAGGAATGACTCAGTTTTTGCTGAGCCATCTCTCTTGAAACTTGGGACAGCAAAATTCAGTTTTGCCTTGAGTATTGGTGGGAGTTGAGCTGGTCTGTCAAAACCTTTGGGAAGGTGATTTTCCTTAGTCCCCTTTGAATTTTGATATGGCTTTACAATAAGCAATAATGCATATTTATGTTTCTTAGGCAGATATTCTGAAAAACAGGCAACATATATTACGGAGATGTATTGAACTGATAATTAACTAATGTAGATACCTTAGCTAGAAGTTGACAACTTTCAGCTGTTCTTCAGCAAAACACACTAATTTTTCTTAGTTGTGGTTTGTGCTTCAGCGTAGTTAATGGTGAGAATATAGCCTTTTATGTTTAACTGGCTTTAAAGTAAAGGTTAAGAAAAAAAAAAAAAGCTTTTATTGATTTATTTCCAAATGTTCTTTCTATCTTGTTTTCTTACAACTGTTACTTCTTGGAATTCTGTAGGTGTTAGCTCATCATTACCTTTTTTTATGAAGTTTCATAGCAATTTGATGTTTTATGATAACACAGCTAACATAAAATGATCATGTGTCTTCTTAGTAGAATGTGCAGTATAAGACAAAATGTTCACTAGGTTTTATGTGCTTCAACTTTTCCCATAAATTCTTTATAAACACAAGGTACTTTGTTTTAGCATGCTTTGTTTATAAAGATCTAATATTGATGCTCTGGGATTTCTATACCTTTCAAAATTACATCCTTTTATAAAGTTTACAAAGTAAGATTTGTTTCTTCACAAAACTGTAGCAAATTCTAACAAGAAAACCTTGCAAGGGTGATACATTTACATTACTGTTACACAATTGTTTAATTTTTTAATAGTTTCTCAGTAATAGGTTTTTTTTTTTGGGGGCTTTTTATAACTTGAATTTTAAATTTTATTTTTCTTATCATATGCTTTCCATTAAGAAAGCATAATAACTAGTGTGCGGGAATTGTTTCTGTTCTGTAAATATAGGTCCCTGGAGATTTGAGTCAAACATCTGAAGATCAGAGCTTGTCAGACTTCGAAATGTAAGTTTTCTAATATGCATATTTCTGCTTTCATGTTGTCTTTATGGGAAAGAAGAAAAAGCAAGTAGAGTGAATAATTTCCTTTTCCTATATTATTTCCAATAAATAAATTCTCAGATATGGTGCTCCATTGTTAAAAAGCATGGAGAGCTACATGGTCCATGTAGTTTTTAATAATGTATGCAAGGCATTCAGATTCATGGACATTTTCTTGAAGTGCTCTTCCAGTGTCCTAGAACCTAGTATTCTAGCACAGCACCAAACAGTTACTGTGTTCTGTTGCTTTGGTTTTGGTAGATTCTAGATGATACTAATAACGTGATGGTCCTTCTCATTTTTTTCATCTCAATGCATACAAATAGTACTATTAAAAAAAATAAAGTAGGTCACCACAGATCACTTTAGAGTGGTGTGATTTAAAGCTTTGCTTTTATTAGTCTGACTAAGGAATCTAGCTTTTTGAGGATGATGGGGTGAAAATACAGCTGGTGTTTTTCTATTGCAGAAATTTGGAAGTAAATCACAAAGAGAGAGGGTGGAAATTGCTTCTCCATAACTGTTCAGTGCTCTTCTGTTATTTGATGAACTCTGTTGTTGTTGTTGTTGAGTTTTGTGGACCTCACTGTTGAACTTGTTGAAATGAATAATTTTTGTTTCATGTGTGTAATCAAATGTTGTCAAATTCACAAAAGTAAAAGAAAAGATGATTTGCTTAATCTTTTCCCCAGTTACGTTAATTTTAGGGAACGCTTTTAGATATAGTAAGTATAACAGGCTCAGGCAGAACTACAAATTTTCTGGTATTCCATTTGAAATGTTAAGTTGCTTCGTTGATGACCTTGATCACTACCTAAATACCTGGAACTACTACTTTGCAATTTTAATACGTAAATATGATTATCTATTTTAAGTTTATCTCTCATCTCCTCAGATCAAATCGTGCTCTTATTAATGTTTGGATTCCCTCTGTCTTTCTGCGTGGAAAAGCTGCTAATGCATTCCATGTTTATCAGGTAAGTAACACGTTCTAACAGAAATTCAATAAACACTTTCTGACTGGAATGGAACATTTTAATATTTTAAGGATCTCAGTATAATTTTATTAGAGATCAGATAAAGGACATCAGCAGTAACTTCATACATGTTCCTACATAGGATGACAGTGATCCTCAAAATAGCGTTATTTTGATTGTTGGCTCTTAATAGTGTAAATGCATGTTAATAAAATGGCTGCATTGACCAGAGCACAACAATTCAGTGCTGACTAGTAATACCTTCTTCAATATGCATGTTGTAAATACTCTATTTCAGTTCTGCAATATCAATGACCAGAAATGTTACTTGACAGACAGACAGATATGGATTACTTAGTAGCTCAAAAATATTTTGAATGGTGCAGAAAGCCTTAACTGTGTGTCACTGGGTATGTTCATAGTGGGTTTTGCTTCTGCTGGGTCTAAATTTAGAGTTTGCACTCTAGCCTGCCTTGTAGCTGAAGCATTGAAATCCCATACTGTTTTTTGATTCATGGATTTTCAGCTTTAGACCAATTATAGCCCTGCCATTTTGCCTATAGAATGGCTAGCCTTAAACAGCTCTTTGATGTGCTTTATCAATCTACTTGTATTTCTCTTTGTGGATTATTTTCATAATTATTATGATAAATTTTTAAACTTTTGAGCATTTTTTATAATTATTAGTATAATTATTATGATGCATGAAAACATTAAGTCTTTCCCGTGTTTCAGCAATGTGTACTTAGCTTTAAACAAGATTTCTGGGAATTTTTAACATTCCTCTCACTTTGAACAATGATTTTTATAGAATTCTGAATTATTTATGGACTGTTAGTACAGGAAACCACCTTTTTGGCCAGTAAAGTATAATGAAAAATAAGTCTTCAGCTAATGCAAAGAAAAGCTGGCAATACTGAATTTGTACTGAGTTAGTAATTTATTCAAAAGTGTTGAACAATCAGTTAGTCAGATTTAGGTGTATGAGTGCGTCTGGAAGGCAAACATGTTGACAAGTGTGATTATTTTTGATAATTCCCTATTGCATTTCTGTCTCTCACTTGTTCTTCCATTGTACTGTAACTGCCTACATGTTCCCAAACCCAGATACCAGTCTGGCAAAACAGAAATCCTTAAATGTACCAGTATCCCACCACATCTCTGTTACTATAATGCTGCTGCAGTTCTGTGATGACTGAAGGAGCTCTCGTTTCTCCTGTTTGTTTCCCATGTTGCCGTGTTTATCAACCTGCTGACATATTGGAAGGTTCTCAATGTCTATATTTACTTTTTCAAGGAAATTAAGTTGAAGTAAATCCTTCTTCATTAGCATACTGTTGCTAACGGGGCAGAACAAAGTAATGAGCAAACCTCGGAAATAATTTGGTTGACTGATAAAAGCATTCTGCCAGCTATTATCTTAAACCATGCACTTCTATTAAGGCTTTCACTTTTACAGTCTCAGTGTGAATGGCTGGGTAGCATTATGTGCTATGTGGTAGTGCAGACACTCAATTTGCGAATGTTTGTGTAAGATACTAAAAATTTGAGACAAGTTGTGATTATCACTGCCTGGGAAGGTGGAGAACTTGGGTGAATTAGTACATGACATTTATTGTGATTCCTTTGATGGAACGATTGTTAAAGGCTTGCTTTGTAGGGCAGAACCAAATATTGAGGCTGTGCCAATGCCTTTGTCTCAAAAAAACAAAACCCCCCAGAAGAACCCTATGCAGTAACTCCAAGTTGGGTACCCATCAGCTGAAACATCTTGCATCACCAGTGCTGTTGTGATACTGTTGCACATGATCTTGAAGTCAGTTGCATTTGTAGCTTGGTTGTGTAAACCTGGATCTGAGATTTTTCCAAATGACTTCATCATTTAGAAAATCTTAGTTTATATTTTTCACAATATAGATAACTAAATGTCACTTGATATTCTACTTCATTAAAATATAAGGTCTTTTGCTTAGGTCTTGGAAGAATTCTGTTTACTTTTAGTTTAATGGTAACTTGCTATCAAACTTTGTTACTCAAGAGTTCAGAGTTTTGGACAAAATTTGACTGTACTTGACTATAAAAAAAGGCACCAAGAAAACTGAGAAAGCATGTGGAATTCATGTGTATCATAGACGTTTGGCATGTTTTCTTAATAGGAAGAAATAAACCTAGCTTCCTGGTTTATAGCATGTTCGGAGCTTTATCCAAAACCTGCGTGAGTGAGTGGAGGGTGAGACACTGCTCTCAGTTGGCTTTGGATAAGGGCCTAACTACAGTGACTTGAACTAAATTTCATTCTTTATTGTGCTTCTGCACCTTATCATTTCCATCATTAGCGTGGCATTTTAGAAAATAAGTTGTGCTGTTAACAGAGTGGGTTTTAATAGACTTCATCAATTACTCAGCATTGATGGAAAACAAAGAACTTCTGATTAAAGGGTGGGCCTTTTAACAAGAGGAAGAAATGAAGCAAAATATCATTGGAAGATTTTAAAAAGATTTGAAATTTTAGATTGTCAGAAGACAGCTTTGAGAATTTACTTATTTCTGCAATATATTGTTATGCATATATGTCATGTTGGACATCACTAGTATGCAAAATTTGTTTATGGGTATATTTATTTGAAAAATGCTCAAGTTACTTTTCTGAATGTTCTGTTCATTATCTATTCACACTAGGAAGTTACTGGAGATAGAATCACAGAATTATCTAGGTTGGAAGAGACCTCAAGATGGAGTCCAACCTCTGACCTAACACTAACAAGTCCACCTCTAAACCATATCGCTAAGCTAAGATCGTTAAGATATGTGATATGGAAAGATAGAAATTTCTTATTTATTATAGACATAGAACATCCATGGTCAGAGTTGTTTGTCTTTAATTACAGAACAGCACAGAATATCACAGAATTCCTCTGGTGAGCAGTTGTGTATTTGCTCAACTTTGTCTTTTGAAATTTTAAAAAGAGAAGTGAGCAAAAGCTACCTGTAGAAGTGACCTAAAACTTCTGTCATTTCTATTAAACTTTGATCTTAGTACTTGTTAAGATCTTGCCTTATGGGAGAATACATCAATGGCATTCCTACTAGTTTTTGATCTCTTGTAGTATGACTGATAAGAGTATCTGTCTAGCAAATAACTATTTTCTGCCACCGTGCACCTGGAGAAAAAAAAAAAAGGAATCTGTCCAAAAATAAACCTATGCTCTCTATATAGCACATTATATCACTATGATTAAACACTTGGAGTTGAAGTGATTGCCACATCTCTGATCAGATACGTAGTCATGTGCTTACTGAATATATATTCTGCATTTTATAGCTATCAGGAAAGCATTAATTTATAAAACTTCAGAATAGCCTCAATAACAGCACTGTGCATTTATCTTGTTAAATCTCTGCCAAAACATGTGCTCCTGATTACAGGGAATTCGATTCAATGTTGAAATTGTGGAAGAGGATATTTACTAGGCTACCAGTATGTAATGAACAGACAAGGACTAGGAGTGACAATTAGGATAAATGACTGAGCTCATTTCTGAGAGTCCTCTTATTCATAATAAGCATTATATTTGATGTTTTATCATTTATTTCTCCACAGCAGAAAATAAAGTGTTTGTAACTCTTTGTATCAGCTGTGTGAGGATTCTGCTTGTAGTATATCAATGTAAAGAAAATTGAGAATTCTTGGTAGAAGTATTGCAACTTTTTAATATTGCTGAGATCATTTCCAATGTATTTTGAAGTTCATATTTCTCTGAATGCTTTGGTAACCATAACTTGGACATAAAAATGGGCTGTTAATTGTGCTGGCAAGTTCTGAGGAAAAAGTTATGAAATAAATGGAGAAAGCAGAAATGTGCCAATTGGTACAGGCAAAATTTCAAACTTGTTTTGGGTAAGCATAATTTTCAGATATGCTAGATACTTATAACTGTACTTGAATTAGAAATATGCTTCGCCTGCCTGAAAATTAGATTGTATGCATAACAGTCTTGAGGTAAGATGTTGCTGCCAAGTCTTGCTGAAGATGTCACAAAAAGGCATGGACCTTGACCACTGCTTTTCCATATCCAGTTCATTTTAATGTATTTGAAACAATTAATGTTTTCTTCCTTTTTTTTTTTTTTAAAAAAAAAAGTTATTAAAAAGCTAGAGCGACTGTCTTCCCCTTTTCTCCTGTTGTGGGTTGTCTTGTCTACTTCCTTTGGTTAGAAATTGCAGATTTACAGCATTTGTTCAGTTGATGGAGAGCAAAAGACAGTGTGCAGAGATTTGCTACATCAGTTTTATTACTGACGCACTTGAGAACTGTCATGCATCTTCTGTCCCTTTTTATTCATAAGCAGATATTTTCAGCAGAAAATAAGCTATGACATACTTATTATGTGGCTTGGAAATGGCCAAAAAAAAAAAAGGTGGATATATTTGCAGAGTGTGTCAAATAATGTTGAAAACTATGAACCCATAAGTATAGTATCTGTCATCCTTTATCCTGGAGTTATAAGTGATTCTTCTTGGAAATATTAAGAGTTAGGAAAAATAAACCTGCGTAGCTGTGCCTCTTCAGAATCAATGCCAGTTTTCCATTTGTGCTCCTTGAAACAGGAAGAGAAATGAATAGCATGTTAACTTTAATTTATATCTCGGGGGGCCAGACCTGAGCATCACAAAAAAGATATGAATAGACTATGATCCCAGCAGGAGTTTTGTAATGGTGTTTTTTGCTATGGTCTTCCTTTTTTTTTTTTTTTTTTTTTTTTTTACAGGAGATTTTAATGCTTTAAATAGTTTTAACCATCAAATAGTTTTTTCTTTTTTAAATTTCTGTTAAGGATTGAAGATTCTGGACTAGCTCAGAAATCAAGGTGTGCACTCTTAAAGCAAGCAGCATTTTATAGAGAATCCTATTATCCTATTAGATGTGGAAACTTTAAGCAGACCTCTATGTTTGCAGAGTTACCCCACACTCCTGTAGTAGTAATTAACTGACAGCATTT